AGTATCATGATTATAATACTGTATGATGTTATCAAACTAATGATGAGGGATTGAATCACCAGCCTTAAACTAAAGGAATGTGACACAGCCTGTTAGTGGCTCAAGACGTTATTTTAGCATCAGTCTCAATGTTTGTATTCATACGTCAGTTTTCACAATGTTACATAACCAGAATAAATAAAAGATGAATCATCCATTATTACATTTATGACACTGTTGATATTTACAGGGATGTAAAGTGTTCATCTATTTGCTGCAACTTGGAGAATAAAAAATGATAATTATCTTTCCTCGGTGTAATGATGATGTTACAGATGTGATGCTGCTAATAGTGAGAAGCCTGATGATCAATGAAGGCAATGTGTGGAAAACGATCAGTCCCGTATTTTAGTCTGCGTTCTTCAGCGTGTTCTTCCCCAGTGTCAACAGCGGAGGACAATGCGTGTGCATTTATTGCTAGTTTGTTAATATCTCCATCTGTGTAGTTCTTTGTCATAAATGCAGTTAACATAATATGACGTGGGAGCAATTCAAGACGGTTTCCCATCCACTGTACAATCTGGGCTTATTTATTTTATAAAGTTCCTTTCATCTACACGGCATTAAAGTGCAATAAAATTGCTAAAATTTGTTATAATATTAATTTTATAATAAAGCGAAACACGCAAATAAGCTCACGAGTGATCCTCTGCCGCCATCTACGGGTTATAGTGGTCATGTAATGTTCATGTTAAAACTGTTTGTTTTCCATCCGTACGTAATTGACAGAAATCCTCTACTAAGGGTACGTTTACAAAACAATGAAATGCTTAAACGGATACGGTTTGCTGTGAGTTTTTTAGTGTACAGACGACACCATTGTCAAAACGATCACAAGGATCCACAAAAACGAGGACACTGTTTTCAAAAACTTGCACTTTGAAAACGGTTTTCAAAAGTTTGTGTTTTCAGGCCCCCAAACCGCTGCTGTCGTGTAAACGAACGACCAAAACGCATAAAAAATTCAAGTTTTTAGTTGAAGGCGGTGTCGTGTCAACAGCCCCTGAAGCATGGCACATTTCCCATGTTATCTTCATCAATGAAAATGATAAATGTAGATATTCTTTAAATTCAATTTTACTGCTCAAATGAAGAGTTAAAAAAATAAGTGTTTAAAACATTACATGTAAAAAAAAAAAAAAAAAAATGTTTACCCCCATATTACCAATCTAGTCAATTACAGTCATTTAAAGTTTTTCCATATTCTTAATGGATATTATCTAGTTATTTAAAATGATTAGCAACTAATTCAAAATTCAGGGATTGACTTGTAGAACCTATTGTTCTGTATTGTTCATGCCTACCCTAGTGTACAAACAATATTTTAAAATATATGTTTTAAATCAAACCCTCGTTGGAGGCTGAGCCCTCCTAATATTGAAATTCTAGAATCGCCCCTGGTTATGGGACTCTTTGGTGAACTTGAATCAACGAAATAAACGGATAATGCATAATGTATGCAACAAAAAGTGAGCTAAAAGTATAAACAGCACTCCAACTGATATCACGATACAGTAGCATGATGTTAGTTTTCATTTAGCCAGCTGGTTGGTTGGCTAGTTATCTAGCTAGTTAGTTTTAGCAAGTTGTAATTTGTTAGCTAGTTAGTTGGCTAGTTAACCAGCTAGAGTGTTTGCCTTGTTAACTAGTTAGCTAGTTAGTTGGCTAGTTAACCAGCTAGAGTGTTTGCCTTGTTAACTAGTTAGCTAGTTAGTTGGCTAGTTAACCAGCTAGAGCAGGGGTCTCCAACACGTCGCTCGCGAGCTACCAGTAGCTCGTGGCCTGATTGGAAGTAGCTCGCCAAGGTTGCCGTTCACATATCGCGTCTTTTGCGCGCTCAAGTTCGTTATTTCAAATGTAGCCGCTTGGGCAAGCGCGCTCATAATTGAAGCGACGTGCTCATTTTTCCCAGGCGCAGCGAGATGAAAACACCTCAACCTTTCAGAATGCTGAGAGCGCACCGCAGGTCATGTGACAAGATCCAACCAATCAGCTTCACCCTTTCCGTAACAACATTGAAAGCTCAATCAACATGAATTTTACTATTAATAATAAAAGATAAGCTAATGTGAATTGTAAATGTCCGTAATTTATCTTTTTTGACTCATTCTTTTTATAAAAATTATTTAAAGGCTGAAATATGTGAGGTTTATTTTTTTATAAAACCTTTTTTGTCAAAACTTTATTTGAACTTGTACATGTTAGTAGATAACATGTTGCAAGACACTCCTTTAAAATCTGGCCATCATTTTTAATGTTATTATTTTAATGTTTATTTAAACAAAAAGAGCATATTGATGCTATTTTTTTGTTATTTGCTGGTTTTCGACATATAACTTGGTGAACTGATTTTATTTAGTAGTATTTTTTTAACAGGATTCTGTGATAACCGTGATAATTTTGGTCACTATAATCATGAAAGGAAATTTTCATGCCATTTCATCTCTAGTTATGATGCACTATAAAATCAACTATAATTATGTGTTTACAGTATAATATGCAAAGTACAATTTTCTATAAAAAAAATTAAATCTCTGATTCTGTTCTTTTCTCTGACATTTAAGGGTGACATATATAAGCCTACAAAAACTCGTTTAGGTCTAAAACAGTTTGGATAGCTGTTACTATGAGTTATGAGACATTATTTAGGAGATTTAAGTATTGTACATAGCTCTCGGCCACTTTCATTTTTAAAAAGTAGCTCTCAAATGAAAAAAGGTTGGAGACCCCTGAGCTAGAGTGTTTGCCTTGTTAACTAGTTAGCTAGTTAGTTGGCTAGTTAACCATCTAGAATGTTTGCCTTGTTAACTAGTTAGCTAGTTAGTTGGATAGTTATCTAGCTAGTTAGTTTTAGCAAGTTAGCAAGTTGTAATTTGTTAGCTAGTTAGTTAGATAGTTAACCATCTAGAATGTTTGCCTTGTTAACTAGTTAGCTAGTTAGTTGGATAGTTATCTAGCTAGTTAGTTTTAGCAAGTTAGCAAGTTGTAATTTGTTAGCTAGTTAGTTGGATAGTTAACCATCTAGAATGTTTGCCTTGTTAACTAGTTAGCTAGCTAGTTGGTTGGCTAGTTATCTAGCTAGTTAGTTTTAGCAAGTTAGCAAGTTGTAATTTGTTAGCTAGTTAGTTGGCTAGTTAACCAGCTAGAATGTTTGCCTTGTTAACTAGTTAGCTAGTTAGTTGGCTAGTTAACCAGCTAAAGTGTTTGCCTTGTTAACTAGTTAGCTAGTTAGTTGGCTAGTTAACCAGCTAGAGTGTTTGCCTTGTTAACTAGTTAGCTAGTTAGTTGGATAGTTAACCATCTAGCTAGCTAGAGGGGCATGATGTTAGTTAATTGTACTGAGATACTAAGCACATCCATAGACTGTAAAAAAAAGTTGGACGATGCACCTTCACTCTCTTCCATTGTAGAAAAGAGAAGCCGCCAAAGTCTTAATATGCCGCTGACATCTCGGAGCGCGAGTCTGCGCAGCAGTGAGTGTGAAGTGGAGCCGCGATATCAAGGTCCCGCCCTCACCCCCGCAGAAACCGATGGTTAGTAATATTGAATTAATTACTAATTATTTTAAATAACTAGATAATATCCATTAAGAATATGGCAAAACTTTTCTGCACTGGCCTTCCAACATTTAAATCACTGACAAAAACTCACCTTTTTAAAATTGCATTTAACGTTTAGCTTAGTCCGGTGTGTTTTTTGCCCGGTGTGTTTTCAGTGTTTTTAATATTTGATGTGGTTTTTGTTGCTTTTATGATTCTATGTAAAGTTTCTTTGAGTATTCAGAAAAGCGCTTACAAATAACTCATTGAGCAACTCATTGCAGTCCCTCCAGAGAAACGCGATTATGCAATCGCATAATTCAATGCATAATCATTGAAAGCTGTAAAACAGGAGCACACTTTATTTTTTATATTTCATTTATTCATTTTTACAGAAGTTGTAGCATATTCCTTTTGTAAAGCTACAGAACTTGTTTGACTCATCAATGTTTTGTAAGTTTGATGTGTTTATTAAGGTCTGAAATAAAACAAGATGAGAACTGAAATATTCCAGCACTTTCTGTGATGTATATGCTTGCTTATCATAGGAAGTAATAAGAAATGACTCTTTACATTAAGGTAGTAGCCTAGTGAGAACAGGGCGTTGGGGAATCACTTTTTTTTTCTCTTTTTCATCAAACCGCAATTTTTGCAAGTTCCCGCAATTTTTGCAAGTTCCCGCAATTTTTGAAAGTTCCCGCAATTTTTGAAAGTTCCCGCAATTTTTGAAAGTTCCCGCAATTTTTGAAAGTTACTGCAATTTTTGAAAGTTACTGCAATTTCATCGCATAAAATTGCATAAATATCCCGCATATTCCATTGCATTTTTAAAGAAAACGGGCCTCATAATGAAGGATTTTTGCCCGCAACAATCACAAAAAAAACTGCGTTTTTCTGGAAGGACTGTCATTGTGTCGATGTGAAATATACAGTTATGGAAATGTAGAAAGCTCAAATCTCCGACTGAAAATCCCGGAAAAATTCAGTTCACCCAGAGAGGCCGTCAATCACAAAGTCACACTCCCGTTTTTTAGAGAATCAAATAATTAACTAAAGACAAATTTAATGAAAACACTTACACCAGCGTTATTAAAACTACCTAAAATGACAGAAACCATATTTGGGAAAAAGTGTAATTTCATTGTTTAGTTTGTCTTACATCATATTAGGTCCGTGAAGAGGGCTTTATGATCTGCATCCAGCCACCTGGGGAAGTTGACACATTTTGGCTTCACTTTTCAGGACTTGTGTGTGACCCTCGCACGAAGGGTCGACAACATGCATTTTGTACAATAACAAAATTAACATCTCAGTACATGAGTAAATAAATGGGTCTGGTGAAATAGCTAAAAATACATGGGGATTTAATCATCTAGAGCTCCAGCTAATGACATGAACTGTTCAACAGGTGACTCGCATGATCTGAGGATTGTGATACTGGGAGTCTGTGGAGCTGGAAAGAGTTCAATAGCAAATGCCATACTGGGTCGAGAGGCATTTAAAGAGAGCAGAACCAGAGAGAGTGAGAAACAGAAAGGGAGAATAGAAGACAGAAACATCTCCATCATCGACACTCCAGGATTCTTCAACACTCAACTGACTGATGAAGAGATGAAGAATGAAACGATGAAGAGTCTGTACCTCTGTTATCCTGGTCCTCACGTCTTCCTGCTCGTCATCAACCTGGGAAACTTTGAGGAGGAGCAGAGGAACCTAGTGGAGCAAATCCAGGAGAACTTTGGAGCTCAAGCTTTGAAGTTCACAATGATTCTGTTTATTGGAAGAGAAAAAATAACACTTAGAAAATGGAAGCTCGTTATGGATAGTAGAAAGTTTCAGAACCTCATCAAACACTGCAGAGGTAAATATCATGAGATCAACAGTAAAAGGGAGATAATTCAAACTCACATCACAAAGCTTCTAGAGAAGATTGATGAAATCGTCAAACAAAATGATGGCCAGCATTATGACATTTCCATTTACTTAAGAACTCCACTAAAGGGTAGAAAAGAAAAGATAAAACAAGAGAAAGAAACGAAAGTCCAAGAGACAAAACAAGAGCAGATAGAAATAGTGCGGGAGACGATTCACGTGCACAGTCTAAAGGAAAAGAGCACAACACATCGTGTGACTGAAAAGAAAGATTATTTTGCAAAAATAGTGACAAAAATTGAGATAACTGAATTATATGAAGACAGATTCTCCAGAGGTCCACACGAAAACAGGCATGATGAAGAGGAGGCAGTCAAATCACAGAGAAACTCTTTTACAGAAACAAATACAGTCCAGAACCCAGAAAAATATTGGGAAACAAGCGGAGCAGGAAAATGGGACCAGAAGAAACAACATACAGCAAGAGAACATCATCCAACCCAAGCAGGTGAGAACTTGTACTTTATTACACTTTTCCAAAATATCACGACATGTTTCTTGAAAAGTAAATTAAACATAATCTCTTATTTGTCTGCTCTAAAACCCAGTGTCACAGTCCATACAGAACAGACATATGAAACTTGGAAAGCACACAGATCTCAGGATCGTGATGGTGGGTAAAACTGGAGCTGGAAAGAGCGCCACAGGAAACACCATCCTGGGACGAAAGGAGTTTAAAGAAGAATTTTCTCCTGAATCTGTGACTCAGAAATGCCAACAACATCAGCAGACGGTAGAAGGTCGAAACGTCTCAGTGATCGACACTCCAGGACTGTGTGACACATCAATCAGTGAAGATCAACTGAAGAATGAATTAGTGAAGTGTGTCTACATGTCTGTTCCTGGTCCTCATGTGTTTCTGCTGGTCATGAGACTGGACGACAGATTCACAAAGGAACAGAAACACACAATGAAATGGATTCAGGAGAACTTTGGAGAAAAAGCTGCTTGTTACACAATCGTTCTGTTCACTAGAGGAGATCAGTTAAAAACACCTATAGAGGAGTTTCTGACAAAAAACAAGCGGATTAATGATCTAGTTATAAAGTGTAAAGGCGGTTATCATGTGTTCAATAACACAGATGAAGAAAATCGATCACAGGTCACTGAACTGCTGGAGAAGATAGAGAGAATGGTGAAGGAGAATGGAGGAGACCATTACACAAATGAGATATACAAGGAAGCTCAGAGGAAAATAGAGGAAGTAGAGAAGAGGACGAGAGAGGAAGAGGAGAGACGGAAGATAGAAGAAGAAGAAAAGATAAGGGATGATGAAAGAATGAGTTTGTTAACTAAGGCTAAAGGAGTGGCATTAGTGGGAACAGTGTGTGTAGGAGCAGCAGTTGCTACAGGAGCACTAAGTCCAGCTTTAATCTCAGGAGCAGTAGTTGCTGCACGAACACTAAGTCCAGCTTTAATCTCAGGAGCAGCAGTTGCTGGAGATGCTGTACTGGCCTCTATTGCTAAAGGAGCCACACTATCGGAAGCTTTAAAGGCAGGAGTCGTAGCTGCTGGAAATGCAGCACTGGCCTCTGTTAATAGTGGAGCATCACTACCTGCTTCTTTCATTGAAAGCAAGAAATCATGTACACAACAAAATCCCCAGAGTTAAACTAACTCTGCTCAGAGTACACATGGTCCCACTCTAAAGAATGTTAAAGTAACTCTGAATCAGAGTTAAAGTTAATGAGATAATTAAGGGATTAGCTAAGTGATGATTGAGCATTAGTGATGAACACCTGCTGTTAACAAGCAGAATCACTGAAGAAAAGAGAAACACAGGAACTACAACTGACTTCCAGCCACAGTCTTAGATGAAATCCACTGAAGATAAAAGAAGACATTAAATCTCTGAAGATCTCAGCAGAGGAGGATTAAACAACTCCACAAACAGCATTACCAGCTTCATTTATTACTAACCAGACTGACTTTATTTCTATTCTCATTGAGAATTAAAAGAGGGGTTTTTTTTTGTTGATGTTTTATTAAAAATAATAGTTTGGGTTTAGTCACCATTATGGTGATCAGTTTTTCCTTTTGTTGGGTAGTTTTTAGACTTTTAACAGTGTTTTTCTCTGGTTGTTGTATCTGTTTGTTTTGGCAAGAAAAGCAAGAGAAAAAGTGATCAGATGATAATGACTACTTGATAAAAATATAATCATCATATAAGCCTTAATTGTCAAACTTCTTAGCGGCCGTCATCTTGTTCCGTGTCCGACTCCGGTTCAAACTGATACTGTTGCACAGATGTGTCCTCAGAGACTCCCGCTGCCATTCTCTCTCCAAAATGTAACCTCAACTGTTGTCAAGGCAACACTCCACGTGTGTTGTGTCAAAATGCCCCACAGAACAGAGGGGCGGAGTCAGCAAGGCTCATTATCATTTAAAGACACATGCACTTAAATGGCGTGTGAAACCAGAGCTGTTTTTGACCAGTTAAAATTAGTGTTTTCTTACAATACTAATGAAAATTTTTAATTAAAGTATATTACAATAAGTATATTTAGACCCTAAATAATTATATTAACTTGTATAAAAATGGCATTATATGACCCCTTTAACCCTAGTGGTTAATTTAAAAGTTTCCCAAACAAGAAAACCTGGATTCCCGGCAGTTGAATGGTGAATTGGCCGGTATTTTTTTCTTTAAATTAAAATTGACGTAAATTACCTTTTTTTTTTGCTATAGCCTACCACTTACACAATACTTGTACTAAAATACTAAATTAAACAATCCTTATTTATTGTTTCCCAGAAATCAGTACCTTGTTAAATGAATTAGCTTGCCAAACTCCAAAGAAATACCAGAATACAAATGTTAAGGATAAAAACATTAAAAAATGTTAAGGATTTTTACATTAATGTGATAACCCCCTTTAAAAGAAAAACAAGGAACCCCCTTTTTTATATGAAGACAGATAAACACTTATACCCAATGATATGTAAATTACTTAGTGTCTTGTAAATAAAATGTACAAATCAACTTCCCTGTCTCAGAATTGTTTGTTTTCTCTTTTATGTTTTTTTCACTTGCATTTTTTACTTTTTTCCCTTTCTCCTGAAACATGCAAAGCAATAAGGAAAATAAAACAATATTTCCTTCAAAACAAATTAAACACACTTGAAGATTCACAACATGTTTTTTTTCCTTTCAGTATGCAAATTAGTTGCAAGTCAGTGACGCAGTGAAATATACACGAGTCAGTGACACAGTCAAATATACGGTCGTTTGTTATTGTTGGGGCCCAGTTTGTTGGTGCACATTTACAGCTGACGAATTCAATGTAGGCATACTCAAATTCAACACTCCCGAAAATGAGTTCACTTACGTCCATCCAAAAAATAAAATAAACCAAGCGTTGTTTCTCTACACTTTGGGCCTTATATAACATAGAATATATGAAGTCTCCAAAATGATGCTTTTCTAAAACAAGCAGTCAAATTTGCCTACCTGTCTGCTCATGCCATGTGCGATGCTCCTCCCCCTTCACGTAACTCACGCTATGACGCAAACGAATCATGCTCAATGAAAACCATGGTGACCATAGTCATGCAAACGAAACCATAGTGACTAACTATTATAGACGTGACAGAAACAACTAAACAGAACATGCTTTAGACCATGTATTCATCATCACATATTTAATCCACAAAGTTTATCAGCTATGCGAACACAGGGACCTCGTGCTCAGGCATCTCAGGCAGTTGGGTCTTCAGGTCAACTGGGAAAAGAGCAAACTCTCCCCTGTGCAGAGTATCTCTTTTCTCGGTATGGATTTGGATTCGGTCGCACAGACAGCGTGCCTCACAGAGCAGCGCGCTCAGTTGGTGTTGAACTGCATGAACACGTTCAAAGGCAGGACGGTGGTTCCACTGAAATTCTTTCAGAGGTTCCTGGGGCATATGGCAGTGGCAGCAGCGGTAACCCCGCTCGGCCTGCTTCATATGAGACCGCTTCAGCACTGGCTTCACGGCCGAGTCCCGAGATACAGGCATGCAGTGTTAGGGGTGTGACGGACCCCCAACTGCATTGGCACATCAATTGCCTCGAGTTGCTAGCAGTACATCTCGTTTGATAAGGCAGCTACAGGGCAGGCACGTGCTGGCAGTGGGAGGCTGGCACGTCACAACAGTCCCCCCCTGGCCCATTCCTCTGAGGAAGGATCTTCTGACTCAGAGACGGGGCACCCTATGGCACCCCCATCCAGACCTCTGGAAAGTCCATGTCTGGTTCCTGGACGGGACGTGGAGGTTCTAGGTGACTTACCCCCTGAGTTACTTAACACCATCACTACAGTACGGGCGCTGTCCACAAGACGTGTTTCCGCCCTGAAGTGGAACCTGTTCGTCGAGTGGTTCTTCTCGCCGAGAAGACCCCCGAAGATCTTCAATAGGGTCTGTGCTTTCCTTCTTCCAGCAAGGGTTGGAGCGAAGGCTGTCTCCCTCCACTCTCAAAGTACATGCTGCAGCTATTTTAGCATATCACGACCACATAGATGGCAAAACAGTTGGAAAGCATGACCTGGTTGTCAGGTTTCTTAGGGGGGTAAGATGATTAAATCCTTCTCGACCCCCCTCCATACCCTCTTGGGACCTTTCCCTGGTGCTTCGAGCACTTCAGGATGCTCCCTTTGAGCCTTTGCAGACAGTAGACTTAAAGCTTTTTTCCATGAAGACTTTGCTGCTGGTTGCACTGACCTCTGTCAAGAGCGTAGGGGACCTGCAGGCGTTTTCGGTCGACGAATCGTGCCTAGAGTTCGGGCCGGGTGACAGCCACGTAGTACTAAGACCCCGGCCAGGCTATGTGCCCAAGGTTCCTACCACTCCCTTCAGGGACCAGGTAGTGAACCTGCAAGCGCTGCCCCTGGAAGAGGCAGACCCAGCCCTGGCTTTGCTTTGTCCCGTACGTGGACAGAATTCAAAGCGTCAGGACCTCAGACCAGCTCTTTGTCTGTTACGGAGGCCAGCAGAAGGGAAAGGCTGTCTCCAAGCAGAGGATGGCCCACTGGATAGTGGATGCCATTGCCTTGGCTTACCAAGCACAAGGCGTGCCCTGCCCGCTCAGGTTACATGCACACTCCACGAGAGGCATTGCATCCTCCTGGGCGCTGGCACGTGGCTCCTCGCTAACAGATATCTGTAGAGCTGCGGGCTGGGCGACACCTAACACGTTCGCTAGATATTATAGCCTACGTGTAGAGCCGGTCTCCTCCCGTGTTCTCACCCTAAACGGGTAGAAGCACCGAGAGGCCCGGCTCAGTCGTCTTGCTGCACCCTACTGTGCACCCTTTTGCTCCAGAGTAAAAATCTGTTGAGTCCTCCAAAACCCCTCGGCCCGGACATGGCGGAGCGTCCGGCACCAGGCACTTATCCGCTGAATCCTTGAGAACCGGATCTGGGCTGGGTTCGGGATATCCTACGGGAATCCCATATGTGTATATTCTCCACGGCTGCTCCTAACGGAAGCCCGTGTCTTTCCCTTGGGCTAAGTCACCCACTATCTCATATGTAGTACAGCCTTCGGGCTAGTCCATATGTATTCCCCACAAAACTCCTTGAAGTAAGTGCCTTTCGCAGCGTCCTCCTTCCTAACTGAAGGGCATGCTTCCTAGTGTTATCCAATAATCTCACTGTATGGGTTATTACGAAACAACAGTGACAGATACACTCTGTGTAAGCCTCCTCCTATCGTCCTTCCAGGCAAGAAGGTGTAGAGGCTTATAGGGCTGGATGGGGTGCAGCTGATGCAAATGATTGCACGCCACTGTGCATTGGCTTGTTTAGTTTCACTCGAAGTAGATTGGCCTCTCTAGCGAGATTCCTATTCGTCGGTCTCGAGGCGTCTCCGTTCCCTCCTTCAGGGAATGAGGGTTACCATATGTAACCGAGACGGTTTCTCTTCATGGTTCGACATTTCATTTGGTAACATTAAGCAGTTTTGACTTATACACTGTTTAATGTTCACGTTATTTAACATTTTTTTCATTTTACAATTTTCTATCACTTGTTTCAGCTTCTTCTTCTCCTGTGTTTTGATCTGGAGATTCTGTACTAGAAGATGTCATAGCGCATCCTACCGTACAACAGTGGAAACATGGATAGCTGGAAAATTCAGTCAATGGTGGGGAAAGAGTAAAGTAGAATTAAAGTAAATTCCTATGTACACTACCAGTGGACTAGCCTACATAAAAATTCCGATACGCAGAATTAGAAACATATCTGTTTTAAATCAATATTCTTATCAATATTTTCAAACAATGTAAGTTTCATAAGACTATATATGAAAAACTATGTAAAAAATTTATATTTAATAGGCTACTCGATCAAAACTTGAGTTAACAACTACAAGCCAAGTATACTTTGAATACTTAAATATACTTTTAAGTATATCTCGATCAAAAGATTGAGCACAAGTACAGGCCGAATATACTAGGACTTTTCTCTCAGTATAAGTCAAGTACACTTAAGTGTAATTTTAAAAAGTGTAATTTTTCTGAGAAGTACATAAAGTATATTTTTGAGAAGTATAAAATATAGACTGAAAGTATACTTTCTTATTTTTAGTTTAAAAGAAGTATACTAATAGCACACTTGAATAAACTTCTTTTAGTAAGGGGACACACGACCCAAAAAGAACAGAATTTAAGTTTTCAATACCTTAAATCATTGCAGCACCGATCGGCAGGGATTATAGCCTCGGGCATGTATGATTTATCTTGGTAAATGTAGGGTGCCAAAAAAAAAAGGATTTTAGTGGGCTTTTTTTTTTGTGATTTAGAGAGGAATATTCTCCTCTCATAGTCTGTTTATCTACAGTTTGCACTTGTTCCTTATTCAGAGTTTCTGGTGTTTGTTGAGGAAATAAACACATCGACATAAGTGTTGATTTATTTTAATAGTAAATGCAAAGAGCTGACCAAAAAATACAGACAATTATTGGTTTACAGTTGCATGGTTAAGAAAGGAAAGCAAAACCTTGTTATATAGCAGATGTTTGCTTCTGTAAAATACTAGTGTTTCTAAGACACACGTTTGATCTTCATGCTGATGGATTTCATACTAACAACATAATTCTTCCAGCTTGACCAAACAACACCAATGCCGAAATGGGTGTCGTCTTCTCCCCATAAATACACACCGTTGGGGTTTGCATTGTGACAAAATTTGTACCAAAATGCCCCGAGATACTCTTTAGCACAGTTATTTCCATAGGAGTCTTGGTCTTTATCAAAGGTGGAGAACTTCTGATCATTATGGCCCGATAAAGAGTCGCCAGCAGAGAAGAGCATCATTGAGGACAATAACTCAATGGAAATGTGTTTTCATGAGTATGTATGAAAGTGTCCTGCTCCTCCATCAGTGAATCCTGAAACATGCCGTTTATACTAGGGCTGAACGATTAATTGCATTTGCGATAATATCGCGATATGATGAAACGCGATTTTTAAACTGCAAAAGCTGCGATTACACTCTGGTCACGTGACACGCGAGAGAAAAGCAGTCTGCAGATGTAGCATCAACTTGGCACGGCATACAGGAAAGAACAGTTTATGTTTGATTTATGTGATATTGTTGTAAAATATATATATAATTAATATATAATGTACAATAATATTTTCAGAGAATTTCAGAATCGAGTCTGAGCTTAGTTTTTAAACAGATGCGTGATGACGCTGCGTGTACTTTAGAAACAGCCGTATTCTGCCTCTCTCTCTCTCTCTCTCACACACACACACACACACGAAACCGCTCGAACCTTACGAAAAATAATCTTTCATAAAGTTCGGAAAGGTTTAAGCTAATTACAAGGACATTCGCGGGCTTTATCGCACTGGTTGCCGCTTTGCTTGATGTTGCGGTCTCGCCTGCCGGAATTTTCCTCACAAATGCTCTACTAAGGCATTATTTATGTCTTTTGGAATGCAGTTGGCTTATATATTAAAAATATGAAAATCACTGAGAAGGCTGCTTTCAATTTAAAATACTCACGCGCGCTTTGTGAAGAGCGCTCGCGCATGCGGCTGTGAGCGACTCATTGGTTAATGTACTGGCATCTCAAAATGCTTTTATGATGCGAAATGAATGTAAACGCGGTCAGTGACATTTTAAACCAACAGGACAAACCACATCTTATATTTCAAATGGGATCTGTGCACTAGTGTGAATGCAGCTTATCATATCTAAACTGAGAAGACAAATCACTCACAGCTCTTGAATGGAAAATGTTCAGACGGCCTACTTTTAAATACTGAAAGCACTCTTTGTTTATTGCTTGTAATGTTTTTTTTTGTTCCTCTTTATTTACTAGCTTTTATATTTATATAGCCTATTTAAAATTCTTAACATGTTTTTTAATGATTATTTTTAAATATGCGTATAATTACACAAATAAAGTTTTTAACTGTTAATAATATTAATTACGAAAAAAAGTATATCAGGAGGTGCCTAAAGATTCCCATCCCTACTATACAATGATTCATTGCTTGCCTTTGTCGAATAATACAGAAGATAACGAACTTAAAAAGTAATCGCATATTAAATCGCAATCGCAATATTGGTTAAAGAAAATCGCAATTACATTATTTTCCAAAATCGTTCAGCCCTAGTCTATACCCGTCAGATTCAGGATCCACAGAGAAGGACGAGTACTGAGCAAAACCCTTCCTTCCTTCAAAGTCCTCCAGATCCACTCTCAGCATGTACTTTCTGTTACGCGTCAGCTGGTACATGTTCTCCAGCCCTGTTCACACACACACACACACACACACATGAAGAACCTGTTCAACCAAACACATGATCATCCACACAAACGGACACACGCTGTGAGATCTTACCCAGCCAGTATTCGCTCTCCACATTCCCGAATCCTCTCTTGTACTGATTCCACGGCCGATAGAAATTCACACTGCCGTCCATTCTCCTCTGAATCACCTGTGATGGGTTTATATAGGATATATGATTCATAATGTGTGTTCTGATGTGTGTTTGCTAGGGATGTAACGATTCACTCATCTCACGATGCGATACGATTCACGATACTGGTTTCACGATACGATTTTCTCACGATTTTTTTAACAAATGCGATTTAAGACAAAAGTGTCCGTTTTATTATTTCTCAGACAAAATGCTGCACATTTCTTTTTAATTTAAAATATATTTGTCAAATAATAAAACTACATTAAAAAAATTCCCTTCAAGGTTGTTTCAACTCAGTCTTTCTGTCTGTTTGGTCAAGAGGCTGGACACTGGTACCTTCGCACACTATGTAAAAGACTGTGTAAAATTAGTAGTACCAGATTGACAGGGGTTTTACATTGTAATAAAGGCAAGATTCTAATTTTGTTATAATTTGTATCATTACACTAGTAAGAGTAAAAAAAAAAACACATTTAGAGAAAGAGATAGTAAAATAAATACAACACCTGGTTGCCACGGAAACACTGATGCACCTTGTGATCTCCGTGGCTCTCGCAATTGTAGTATTAATGACTTTTACATGAAAACGGAGGTGACTGGTGTTACTCACGGTGGTGATTATTATTAGTCTACGGAAAGTCAAAATGCCGCCACACCTCCGATTTGAATGAGTCAACGTCAACATCTACGCTTGCCGTCGCCAAAGCCATGTCTACTGTTTGACGGCACGTGCACACCAGTCTATGGCACACACTGGTGCGGCGCGAGCGGAGCAAACCGAGCGTTTTCAGTTCATTCCTATGGAAGTTGAGCTTGGCTCACACAAGATCAAGTTCCATGAATGAAGTGAAAACACTCGCTAGCTTCACGCCAGTGTGTGCTCGCTGCTATTGTGCTATTGTAAAGCGAGGTTCACAACTTCACAGTAGGCTATAGTAAACGCGCCCTGCTGTTTAAAACGTGTATCGCGATTCGTTTAACATTTCAACCGACTTGAATCGTCACACATTTTTATCGATTTTCAACCGGTTGCGAGTGAATCGTTACATCCCTAGTGTTTGCTGATCTAAAGTCACATTCGTACCGTCCATCCTCCGTTGTCTTCATCTTTCCCATCTGAGATCATGTGACAGTAAACCCAGACAGGAACGTCTCCTGGATAGATGGAGTAAATCCCACTCAGCTTTTGTCCTGCTTTATAAAGGTCAGAACAGTCGACCGGCATGAATCCATCAGCAACACAAACAACAGACGCCGTGAAAACAGAGAGCAGAGCCGCGACAAACACCGTCATCTGGAGAGACACGACTGATCAAGTTCCTCATTTACAATAAAAGTAAAAACAGTCGCTGTAAATGTGAACGAACGAACTTACCGCCATCGTCTCAGTATCTTCTCTGCTGATCACTGCAGATTATAATCAATGTTTTATTTTTAAATCTGGAAGAAATCAAACCAAAAAAATCATCAGATTATTGTTGTTTGTGGCCATTTTTCTGAGTTACACTGTTGTAGAAATGTCTTAATATTCTGTGAGGTAAAAGATGAAGAATGAAACAGTAACTCACCGTTTGGTATTTATGGAATGGACCACCGGAGGAAAATAGGGGAGGGTCATGTCTTTTTATTCTTTGTTGAGGGGAGGGTCACCCAACTTTTTGTATTCATGAAAACACCAACATTTTAAAGTGGCTTGTTTGGTGCATATTTTTCCATGTAGCTCTCTCAGTCTTGGCCCCCATCGCTAGCAGATTGGTCTGACCCAACAAAAATCAGACGCATAAGATAAAGTCCAGTTTGGCGCTGTTTGACAGTGCGCGCTTCGGGCGTACGCGCTCAAAAAAAGAGCATCATGTCAGAACAGAACGACAATTAAATGTTTACCCGGCAAAGCTTTAAAGTACGTGCAAATCATGAACCTTTGTGATTGCGAATGGGTGCGAATGCCTTTTTTCACAATCATTTTGGAGGGTCATAGAAAAATGTATTGCTGGTGAAGGGAGGGTCAAGTCTATTTTGACTATAGATCTCAAAACTCCTCCGGTGGCCCCTTAAATAAAAAACGAACAGTCCCTCACTCACCGTTTGTGTTGTGCCTTGTGTTGTTGTCACTCTTTATTTCTGTTAGATTCTTACGCTCCTCCTTTGTGTTACAGAAGAAATTTATATTGCAAAACCCTTGATTCTTGACACATAGCGTGCGTTAATGAAAGCTAATGCACCGCCTGTTTCTTTTAGTATTTATTAAATTGTTGTTTGCCTTTATTTTGACAGGATAGTGGAGAAGCAGCAGGAAAGTACAGCATCAACGCACCTCTGACAGAATGCCAATTTAATCCGAGTTCAATGATCATGAAACTTTGTTGAGTCACTCGCATCTTCAACTGACCTTTTATCAGTAAGAGCATCTGTCATTTCAGTCACTCTTGCATTTCACAATGTTGAAATACTAACGGGTGATAAGTTACATGGTTAGCAGAATACTGTAAATATAATTTAGTTCTTTTGTAAATATCACAATAATAAATATCTGTGCGACATACCAAATATATGCCTAAAAATCTAACAGTTCGATTTGTCTAAAATTTACATCTATTACATTTTTTCATGGAGATTTTTCAATGGAGAAATTATACTCATCAGTTTTAATAATTAAAATTATTACTTATTTCACATGGTCATAACAAACTACATTGACACATAATGCATTCATTACAGGAGTTTATTGAAGTTTATTGTTGATTTGTTTCAACTGTAAATTTAAAGTGACCCAAAACAAAAAAGAAGAAAATAACTGATGAGATTACACAGAACATCAGCCATAAATATTCTTACATGATTTACTAAGTTACACAGTTAATGGAGAAAAGGAAACCCTTAGACCTTAATTTATTTTCTTTAGAGAAACTCTGTAATGTTTCTTCAAATGTCTAAGACACACGTCTGATCTTCATGCTGATGGATTTCATTCCGACAGTGAAATTCTTCTTCCAGGTGTACCAAACATTTCCAATGGCGAAAATGGTGGGATCTTCTCCCCATAAATACACACCGTTGGGGTTTGCTTGGTGACAGTCTTTGTACCAAAATCCACCGAGATACAGTTTGGCACAGTTCTTGTCTTTGGTGTCTTGGTCTTTGTCAAAGGTGGAGAACTTCTGGTCATTATGGTAGGACAAAGAGTCGCCTGTAGAGAAGAAGAGCATCATTGAGGACAATAACTCAATGGAAATGTGTTTTCATGAGGATGAATGAAAGTGTCCTACCTGCTCCTCCATCCTTGAACCCTGAAACTTGCAGTTTATACCCGTCAGATTCAGGACCCACAGAGAAGGACGAGTACAGAGCAAAACCCTTCCTTCCAGTGAAGTCCTCCAGATCCACTCTCAGCATGTACTTTCTGTTACGCGTCAGCTGATACATGTTCTCCAGCCCTGTTCACACACACACACACACACACACACACACACACATCAAGAACATGTTCAACCAAACACATGATCATCCACACAAACGGACACACGCTGTGAGATCTTACCCAGCCAGTATTCGCCCTCGGTTGCCCCGAATCCTCTCTTGTACTGATTCCACGGCTGATAGAAATTAATTATGCCGTCCATTCTCCTCTGAAACACCTGTGATGGGTTTATATAGAATATATGATTCATAATGTGTGTTCTGATGTGTGTTTGATGATCTAAAGTCACATTCGTACCGTCCATCCTCCTTTGTCTTCATCTTTCCCATCTGAGATCATGTGAACAGTAAACCCAGACAGGAACGTCTCCTGCTGGATAGATGGAGTAAATCCCACTGAGCTTTTGTCCTGCTTTATAAAGGTCAGAACAGTCGACCGGCTTGAATCCATCAGCAACACAAACAGACGCCGTGAAAACAGAGAGCAGAGCCGCGACAAACACCGTCATCTGGAGAGACACGACTGATCAAGATCCTCATTTACAATAAAAGTAAAAACAGTCGCTGTAAATGTGAATGAACTTACCGCCATCGTCTCAGTATCTTCTCTGCTGATCACTGCAGATTATAATCAATGTTTTATTTTTAAATCTGGAAGAAATCAAACCAAAAAATCATCAGATTATTGTTGTTTGTGGTCATTTTTCTGAGTTACACTGTTGTAGAAATGTCTTAATATTCTGTGAGGTAAAAGATGAAGAATGAAACAGTAACTCACCGTTTGTGTTGTGCCTTGTATTGTTCAGTCACTCTTTATATCTGTTAGATTCTTACGCCCTTCCTTTGTGTTACAGAAGAAATTTATATTGCAGAACCCTTCTTGGCACGTAGCCTGTGTTAATGTAATTTATTAAATTGCTTTTTGCTTTTATTTTGACAGGATATCTATGAATCGTTGAGTCACTCGCATCTTCAACTGACTTTTTATCAGTAAGAGCATCTGTCATTTCAGTCACTCTTGCACTGCACAATGATGAAATACTAAATGTTGATAAGTTACATGGTTAGCAGGCTTGAAATGTAAAGTCATACAGTTTCCAAAAACTGTGCAAAAATGTCCATCCTTAACCCTTTCACGCATAGTGATCACTACAGTGGACAGCTGTTCAAAAAGCATTTTCTTGCATTTGCATGGGTTTTGATGGCATAGTTGCGCATCAACCTCTACAGTGGACCCCGTGCATCATCCTATACACTGCCTCCAAGTACAAAGCCAATGTGTTTCGATTCTTTTTCCCTCCAAACCAAGATGGCCGACAGCCACTCAGAAATCCCAAGGTGACCCATTCCTTCTATCCAAGGAGACTCTTGCAAGTAAAACAAATGTTGTGGCATCAAGCAATATCTAATGAGTCACAGTTACATTTTCCAAGTATTTTTAGATTGGGATAAAATTCTGATTAATCATCTGCCCATTATAGTGGACCTCATGCATCACTAGCTGTATTTCAGCTACAATTCATACTATTACTGTGACTGTTGTTCTTGAAAATACTTAAAGGAACACTTCACCCATTTCAACATTAATCTTTATTGAAAGTGGGTCATATATGTAGTCGAAATGTAAACAAATTTTTGAATTTGGTGCCCTCTTGACTGAGAAAAGACAGAAAATAACTTTAGGGCACATTTGTATGTAAGACAACAACTCCCACAATGCACCACATTGCACAGCTCCGCAAGCCACTCCCACTAATCCAGAACAGCGCAAACATCAGAGAAATCACTCTTTCGTCTACAAGGCTAACGTTAGCTGCCACCAGAGTTAGAAATTCATTTCACACAAAATTTCTAGTTAGTTGGCTGTGGCGAGCAGGACGAGGGCGAGGGACGTGAGAGCGGCGCGAGGCCGGTGGCGTGAGTGATAATGAACAACAGCTGTGAGACGCGCCGGTCTCTCTCACGGAGGAGCGGACGCATAAAACGAGCGACGACAGGGCAGATCGAGAGAGGAGCAGGCCTGATTTTATGTTGTGTTTTGTTTCTGTTGCGTGTGGCTGCTGGCTTATACTTTTGTATTTGTTTATTTTACTATTAAAATGTTTAAATGTTAGCCGGTTTCCGCCTCCTTCTTCCCACAACAACGAACCCCGTTACATTGGCAAACTCATTAGCGAATTACTCCTCGTTTGTATATCTTTCTATATGGTGAATTATTGCATGATAGATCTGGATGTTCAGTCAGAACATATGCGGTGCGACACTAGGATGGTTCACATCACAACACAAACGTCCGTGTGCTCGTCTGATTCAGAGATTTCGTCCAGGAGAAATTGCCATCGTTGAAATGCTCTGCAGCAGACGGACTCTATCTGTGTCCGTACAGCGAGAGCACAGGCACCAGCAGTCCGCCCAGCTCGAGCCAGTCCGGCTCCTCGTCCGCTCCAGTCCGCCCAGCTCAAACCAGTCCGGCTCCTCGTCCGCTCCAGTCCGCCCAGCTCGAGCCAGTCCGGGCTCCTCGTCCGCTCCAGTCCGCCCAGCTCGAGCCAGTCCGGCTCCTCGTCCGCTCCAGTCCGCCGAGCTCGAGCCAGTCCGGCTCCTCGTCCGCTCCAGTCCGCCCAGCTCGAGCCAGTCCGGGCTCCTCGTCCGCTCCAGTCCGCCCAGCTCGAGCCAGTCCGGCTCCTCGTCCGCTCCAGTCCGCCCAGCTCGAGCCAGTCCGGGCTCCTCGTCCGCTCCAGTCCGCCCAGCTCGAGCCAGTCCGGGCTCCTCGTCCGCTCCAGTCCGCCCAGCTCGAGCCAGTCCGGCTCCTCGTCCGCTCCAGTCCGCCCAGCTCGAGCCAGTCCGGGCTCCTCGTCCGCTCCAGTCCGCCGAGCTCGAGCCAGTCCGGGCTCCAAGAGGAGTCCAAAGGAAGATCTTGGTGGAGACACAGAGTAAAGGAAGACGCTGGAGACAGGGAGATCACTGGAGAGTGGAGAGGGGAATACTCCACTTAACATCAACGGGACAAGGAGCTGGGGTGAGGTGAGTGCACATATAGTGGTAGTGATGAGGGTGATGATGACGTGCAGGTGGGGACCAGGAGGGATGCTGGGAAGTGTAGTGTAGAGGATGGTGACTAGGTGGAAATGTGACAGTATGTGACTAGTGATGCATTACTTTACTCATTACATCAAAAAAGTAATCTGATTACGTAATGCACATTACTTTTAATGCATTACTTTACTCATTACATCAAAAAGTAATCTGATTACGTAATGCACATTACTTTTAATGCATTACTTTACTCATTACATCAAAAAAGCAATCTGATTACGTAATGCACATTACTTTTAATGCATTACTTTACTCATTACATCAAAAAAGTAATCTGATTACGTAATGCACATTATTTTAATTGCATTACTTTACTTGTTAGATCAAAAGTAATCTGATTATGTCATGCACATTACTTATAATAAATTACATTAATTGTTGGATCAAAAAGTAATTGGTTTACGTAATGCATGTTACTTGTAATGCATTACTTGTTAGATCAAAAAGTAATCTGATTACATAAAGCATGTTACTTGTAATACTCGTAACATCAAAAAGTAATGTGATTACGTCATGCATATTACTTTTTAATGAGTTACTTTACTTGAAATATTACAAAAAGTCTATGCGTTATGCATGCGTTATGAACATGTGTTACATGTTACTTGTAATGCGTTACCCTCAACACTGCTCATTTCAGATGAGATTGAAAACATCTGATCGGTAGGTTTTCTCAGAGGAGAGCTATGTTAGAAATGTGTCCATCTTGAACATAATCATAATTATCAGCTAATACGGGTAAATTGACATACTGTGGTACACTAGAGGGAGTTGGGTTTCCACAGTTGTACCTTGACAGGGTGTAGAGATCTCTGATGGAATCACGTCCTCATGTTCTGATATCAAAGATACACAGCAAAATTGGCAGTATTGGCAGTTTGCAATCTATGTGCATTACCGCCATCTACAGGAATAAGGTGTGATCACATTGGGACGTGAAATGACTTTGTTACCCTCTTAATTTTTTCTCTCTCTTCAAGGTACTGCCTACATGTCAAAAGTACATGCTTCACAGTTTCAATTTCCATACAATATGGGCACATTCCCGTCTCATGTTTCCCTATTATATGTAAGTTGCTGTTCAGGCCTGTAAGTCCTAGCCTTAGCCTAGTGAACCATGCACTATTAAACATATTACAGTAATAACTAGGGATGTAACGATATCAAAATCTCACGGTACGATACAATTTCGATATTGACCTCACGGTACGATATTTATTGCGATATTGTGGAAAAGCTCACGGTATTGTTAAATAGCTCACGATAGTGTTTGTGATGATAATCTAAATAATAGGGCTAAGGGGAAGGGGAAGACACCCCTTAAAACCAAGAATTTTCGCGAGCTTACTTGAAACCAAGGGGTACCCAGAATGCATTGCGCAACCGGCAACAATGGCAGGCATATCATCCAGAGAGTCCCATAAATGTAAGTATTTTTGGCTTAAATGATTGATTAAAAAATTATGACAGTCTTGTTTTGTGCTCTACACAGTTATGTACATATATATTTGCAACTATGTTGTTTATTGAAATGTTTTTAACGTTTTTAAAAATCGCTAGTTTGCTACGCTAGGCTATCCTAACGTTACATTGCTGATTTGCACAATCAGGCCCACATTTCGAGATCACCCAAAATGTCCGGGATTCAGCTTTTACTTTCTACAGTCGCCTTTCATTATGTGTACATTATTTGACACTGACACGTAACGTTACGTGCCAGCTTTTCAGGTGATGCATTCAGCTTCAAACGGATCCCGAACGAGACGAAAACACAGGAATATTAGCAATGCTAAAATGCACATCAACATATCACTTGTTTAGCGTTCATGTACGTCAGGAAAAAAAAAACATCTTGTCGATTTATTTTGATTAATATGTGCGAGCCTGCGAGGGAGAGAGAGCAATACAGCGCTTAGTTTTGAGACCTTTTGAGCCTTTCGCTTGCTTGGCTCCGAAGAGAGAGAGAGAGAGAGAGAGTGCGCGCGCGCGACCGGGGCTCGCTCTCTCGCTCTCTCTCTGCTCGTTCAGGTAAACATGCGCCCTGTCACAAGCGCAGCAGTTCATCTACATTTCTCTTCTCCCTTGATTTCTGCGATTTGTTGCAGACAATAAACACACTTGCAGACGGCATCTTGGAAGTTTGTGATCCGCGGGACTGTGTTTATTCCTCTTGCTTTGTGACGGACACCTGTCCTTTTAATATTGTAACCCAACCACGACGATATCGAGACACGTTTACCACCGCGATAGCGCGATATCGTCAATATCGTTACATCCCTAGTAATAACACAGCAATATTGTGTGTAATTAACAAACCAAATCAATAAAGTTATATAAAAGCATGTGATTACTAGCCTGGATGCCAGCCCGAACCCCGCCCACAACATTTTTTGATCGGGAAGTTCGGTCTGGACTCGCTCCATTGAGGAGTAATTATGATCGGTTCAGAAATCGTCGGGCCAATCAAATTGCCAGGGCGGGCTTTATACGATGATGGACAGATGATCTGCAGGGACGTAATCCTCACGTTATCAAAGAGCGCTTAGGTTGAACTGGTTTCCCTCACAGATGACTGCCGCTGGAGAACTGAGATGTAGAGATTCCGCTATCGCGTCCGTTGTAAAAGAAATCGACAGCGCATTCATTTTAAAAGACGAACAGAGAACTGCAATCAAGGCATTTGTCGATCGGAAAGATGTGTTTGCCGTCCTTCCTACGGGATTCGGCAAAAGTTTAATTTATCAGCTGGCTCCGATGGTAACTAAGAAGATGGGACGCAATGAAAACCCTGTGGTCGTTGTAGTTTCTCCTTTGGTCGCACTCATAGAGGGCCAAGTAAAAGAAGCAACACTCGTTATTTTACTTCTTCCAGCGTGCGTGCATTTGAGTTCTGTAGTTGACAACTGTGCTATGCAAAGTAGTTGACTTACTGCGTTGCTCTCATTGGTTGTAGGTCTATCCAATTGAGTGCAGAGTTGTTGTTTTTCCTGGTTCGGTTAAGACACGCCTCATAATCAAAGCCCTATGAAGCAGTATCAGACTCACATTCTGACTAGAATATGAGTATGACGAAGTCAGGCTTGGTGATTACTATAAAATACAAAAAATATAAATGTGAAATATTGCAAAGGCAATTGAACTTCATACAAGTTGAACTTCGCTTAAGCGAACTTGTATGAAGTTCAATTGCCTTTGCAATATTTCACATTTATATTTTTTGTATTTTATAGTAATCACATGCTTTTATATAACTTTATTGATTTGGTTTGTTAATTACACACAATATTGCTGTGTTATTAATGTTTAATACAGTATCTCTTGAGTTTAAACCATAAACGCATGCATCTGAAAATCTCTTTGAAAAATATGTGCAAAAAAAAAAACTTTTCAAATCTTGTTTTTCTGCATGAAAGGGTAAAAAATATATATTTATTTTGTCAGTATGAAGCACAACTCACATATAAGATTCTGTAGTTGAACGCGGCTAATTTGCGTGACCAACTTGAACAAAAACAAAATCTGAAATTTTCGACCTCGAAATCGCGCGGATTCTTATCGAAATGACTGGATTTCGCCCGCGAAATTTCCGCGAGAAACTGTGTAATAAATGTGACCATAACTTTACAACACACTAGCAATCATGCTATTTGTGTAGTATAAAACGCAAAACATGCGTTAAAACACCAATATTTATGGTCAAACTAACCTGTGACGAGCGCGTCCTCCCGCCAGAAAGGGCGCCAGAGTGCAGGAATGCGCGCGGCCGCGGTCGGTGATGACGTGTATGCTCTCACGCGTCCCGGAAGTGAAGCTGTTGCTGGAAAGAGTTTGGAAACAAACTGGCGATCGGATGATTAAATGTCAATCCTTTGACGGACAGATTGATTGTTGACAGCGCAGTGATTGACAGGCAGTGTGTGATGATGTATCGCGGCGGCGGCGCGTGCGTGCTGGTGATGTTAGTCCTGACGGTGTCGGAGAGCGGCGCGAGGATCCACCAGCTCAAACTCAAGGTCTCTCACACTTGTTTATGCATAATCATCTCACTAATCTGCTTTATTCACCTCCTTCGAGCGTTTCTGTCACATATCTGGGGTTCCATCGGGTCGAATGGTGTATTAATCGTTAAACGACGAATTTATTTGACCCATTTAACGATTTTCCTCATTTATTTAGCTTTGTTTTTATCATTTATCTCTTTTATTTTAGCATTTGTTTCATGTATCTGATGTTTCATCTTATGTAATGATGTATTTATCATAAAACGACGAATTTATTAATTCATTTTACTTATTTAATGAATTACCTCATTAATTTAGCTTTTTTTTATCATTCATCTCTTTTACTTTAGCATTTGTTTCATATATCTGATGTTTCATCTTATGTTATTATATATTATTCATAAAATTATACATTTATTTAATCTGTTTAATGATTTATTTAGCTTGTTTTTATAATTTATCTCTTTTATTTTAGCATTTGTTTCACATCTGATATTTCATCTTATGTAATATGTTATTCATAAAATTTTGAATTTATTTGACCTATTTAATGATTTACCTTATTTAGTTTTTGTTTCACATAACTGATGATTTGTCTTATTTTACTTATTTATGATTTATTATTCATAAAATCATTAATTTATCTCATTTATTTATTGTCTGTTTTTGTAGCTGGAAGCATCACAAACACACATTATGTCACTCATGACTTGTTAATCTCTTTCCCTCTCTCTCTCTCTCTCTCTCTCTCTCTCTCTCTCTCTCTCTCTCTCTCTCTCTCTCTCTCTCTCTCTCTCTCCCTCGTTCTCCCTCTCTCTCTCCCTCGTTCTCCCTCTCTCTCTCCCTCGTTCTCTCTCTCTCTCTCTCTCTCTCCCTCGTTCTCCCTCTCTCTCTCCCTCGTTCTCTCTCTCTCTCTCTCTCCCTCAGAACGAGACGCGGTTTGTGGTCCACCTGAACACGTTCGGGTATTTCGCTAACGGGACTCTGGACGTGCACCTGGTGTCTCTGAACCTCCCGGTGATGAAGAGCGACTCCAAGTCTCCGGTAAGTGTGTGTGTCGTCACCTTCTTCACTTGAGTGAAAGTACATAAGTAGGCCTACTCGAGTATCAGAAGTAATGTCAATGCTAGGGCTGGCTCGCAAGATCTCGATTCTCGATTCGACTCAATGAATAGTTTAATCCTATATAATATCCTGTATTTATAAAAAAGAACAGTGAACATTAGTTTACAAGTGGTTAATTAATAAAAAGAAACTAAGAGCCTTAAACTCTTTTTATTTTAGGAACATTAACACGCATACAATGAATAGACAGGACTTTGATGCGAGGTGAATCCTTGATCAAACAGGATCTGGTTATTTTATGTTTAAGATAAAACACATAAAATCTCGCAGCATGAGCTGTAACATGCAAGCCTATGACCAGTGGAGGAAAACCAACACTGGCTTTTGGGTGATCGAGAAATAAATATGGGGAAAAAATCGATCCTTTGAGAATCGAATTTGAATCGACCGGAAAAAAAGACGATTAATCAAAATTTTGTGTTCACACCCAAGCGATTTTCGCTGACGATGAGCCGAGTGAACATGCAAATTCATTCCCTGACATTAGATGGCGCCCATTAGCTCTGCAATACCACTCCATAACAGTTCTCTTTTATCAAGATTTTTGTAGTCGCTGTCGCGTTTGTCATATAGTTCTTTATGTTCCGACACCAACGATATTGCCTTGCATCTTCCTCGTCTTATTTCTTCCCGCAGTGTAGACGCTACTTGGCGTATATCTTCTTCGCCGTGCGAAAATGAATGGAAACACCTTAACATGTCTCAAATCAATTCGATATACCAATTTGATCGCAAAACAGCATGTGAGGTCATTACGCACAGGTTTTTATTCTCTTTAAAGCCGTTGGATGGAAACACACTTTCACCAGCTTTATTCGCATGAGTTTTTTTACCGAACTTCAGATAATCCGATTGACAAGTGGATGGAAACTTGGCTTATGAAAGTTGCCGTTTCTGTGTGTTTCAGGTGGGCTTTAGTTTGGCTCGGTCTCGAGTGACCGGGATCCTGACCTACACCGTGAGTATCTGACACACACACACACACACCTCTCTCTCTCCCTCTCTCTGTGTGCAGGTCGTCCTCGTGTTTCTGACCGTGTGTGTGTGTGTGTGTCGCTCTTCAGGCTGAGGAGGTGGAGGAGTGCATGCTGCTGAGGAAAGAGAGTGAAGATGAGCTCATCCTCTTCATCATCGACACAGAGAACCACAGGTAGAGCTACTGTACACTTCAAGCATTATTAAAGACACGTAAACACTCAGTAATAAAAAAAGAACAAATAAAAAAATAGCAATTGTGACAAATAGATAAAACTGAAGAAATATAAGATTGAAATAAAGTGTTATAAGATTTCAGGTGTAGAAACTGTAATCAAATGTAGAATAACACTGCACTTAATACAAATATAAAATATACATTACAAATATAGTTACAAAAGTTGAAAGAAATCGTACTAATCGCTGAACTTCATGAACAAAAAATATGTTTGAATTTGTGATATTGTTTGTGATTTTGATATTGTTTGTAATTATGATAGTGTTTGTGATATTGATTGTGTTTGTGTTCAGTGTGGGTGTAAAACACTTCGGACAATCTGACATTGTGCTGCAGTCCAGACTGAAGACAGGAGAAGGAAAAGGTAAAACACACGTGTGCGTGAGAGTGTGTGTGTGTGACGGTGTTGATGACTGTGTCTCAGCGAGGAGGAGAAGAGGAGAGTCAGTCGTCGGGGAGCAGTGTGTGTGTGTGTGTGTGTGTGTGACTGTGTTGATGATTGTGTCTCAGCGAGGAGGAGAAGAGGGGAGTCAGTCGTCGGGGAGCTGTGTGTGTGTGTGTGACGGTGTTGATGACTGTGTCTCAGCGAGGAGGAGAAGAGGAGAGTCAGTCGTCGGGGAGCAGTGTGTGTGTGTGTGACGGTGTTGATGACTGTCTCAGCAAGGAGGAGAAGAGGAGAGTCAGTCGTCGGGGAGCAGTGTGTGTGTGTTTGTGTGACGGTGTTGATGACTGTGTCTCAGCGAGGAGGAGAAGAGGAGACTCAGTCGTCGGGGAGCTGTGTGTGTGTTTGTGTGATGGTGTTGATGACTGTGTCTCAGCGAGGAGGAGAAGAGGAGAGTCAGTCGTCGGGGAGCTGTGTGTGTGTTTGTGTGACGGTGTTGATGACTGTGTCTTAGCGAGGAGGAGAAGAGGAGAGTCAGTCGTCTGGGAGCTGTGTGTGTGTTTGTGTGACGGTGTTGATGACTGTGTCTCGGAGAAGAGGAGAGTCAGTCGTCGGGGAGCTGTGTGTGTGTGTGTGTGTGTGACGGTGTTGATGACTGTTTCTCAGCGAGGAGGAGAAGAGGAGAGTCAGTCGTCGGGGAGCTGTGTGTGTGTGTGTTTGTGTGACGGTGTTGATGACTGTGTCTCAGCGAGGAGGAGGAGAGGAGAGTCAGTCGTCGGGGAGCTGTGTGTGTGTTTGTGTGACGGTGTTGATGACTGTGTCTCAGCGAGGAGGAGAAGAGGGGAGTCAGTCGTCGGGGAGCTGTGTGTGTGTGTGTGACGGTGTTGATGACTGTGTCTCAGCGAGGAGGAGAAGAGGAGAGTCAGTCGTCGGGGAGCTGTGTGTGTGTTTGTGTGACGGTGTTGATGACTGTGTCTCAGCGAGGAGGAGAAGAGGAGAGTCAGTCGTCGGGGAGCTGTGTGTGTGTGTGTGTGACGGTGTTGATGACTGTGTCTCAGCGAGGAGGAGGAGAGTCAGTCGTCGGGGAGCTGTGTGTGTGTTTGTGTGACGGTGTTGATGACTGTGTCTCAGCGAGGAGGAGGAGAGGAGAGTCAGTCGTCGGGGAGCAGTGTGTGTGTGTTTGTGTGACGGTGTTGATGACTGTGTCTCAGCGAGGAGGAGAAGAGGAGAGTCAGTCGTCGGGGAGCTGTGTGTGTGTGACGGTGTTGATGACTGTGTCTCAGCGAGTAGAAGAGGAGAGTCAGTCGTCGGGGAGCTGTGTGTGTGTTTGTGTGACGGTGTTGATGACTGTGTCTCAGCGAGGAGGAGAAGAGGAGAGTCAGTCGTCGGGGAGCTGTGTGTGTGTGTGTGACGGTGTTGATGAGTGTGTCTCAGCGAGGAGGAGAAGAGGAGAGTCAGTCGTCGGGGAGCAGTGTGTGTGTGTGTTTGTGTGACGGTGTTGATGACTGTGTCTCAGCGAGGAGGAGGAGAGGAGAGTCAGTCGTCGGGGAGCTGTGTGTGTGTGTGTGACGGTGTTGATGACTGTGTCTCAGCGAGGAGGAGAAGAGGGGAGTCAGTCGTCGGGGAGCAGTGTGTGTGTTAGTGTTGTCACGATACCAAAATTATTGTTTCGATACCGATACCAAGTCAAGAATTGCGATTTCGATACTTTTTCGATACTTTTCCTGAAAAGGGAGAAACACTCTCAAATATCATTGCTGTGCTTTATTTTAAAACTGGGACAACATTCCAATCATAACACACTAATAAATGAACATTTGAACAGCAGATAGGCTATAATAACCATTTGAACAAAATATGAAATATGAAAAATATAAAAAATAAATTAGAGCAATGACATTCAAGGTAAAACAATAAATAAATTTAGCAGCATTATCTCAGTTATCATAAGAAACATAAGATTTTATCAATATCAATGCCACTGACGATTCTGCTTATCGATCCGATTCTTTAACGATTCTCTTATTGATTCATGATAGCATTGTGTGGAAAAAAGTAGTCATATGCTTTTTCGGGGGGAAAAAACAAGTGTTTTTATTTGTTTTATGTAATTTATGTAATAAATGAAACCTTATTACAAAGTGTTAACGATTAGTTATACACCGATTCAGACAGATCAGTTGTTTTAACCATTCATTAAAACGAATCGGTTCAAATGAGTCATTAGTTCGCGAATTGGACGTGTCATTATCGGACGTGTGCGCGTTGTGTGATTATCCAGGCGGTTACATCCCACTGTCATCACAGAAAACATTTCATGACTGGATAGTTTTTTTCGTTTATTTAAAGTGTAGTTTATGTCAGCTGAATGTGCGGAACGATTCAGAGAAGATAAGGCAACGTATTTTACCACAATTTACACCCAGCGGTAATTCAAAAAAAAAAAAAAAAAAACTCCGAATGCTCCACATGAAACTTTAGTCTCCCGACCTTACCATCGTGTCGAATTATTTTGATTAATATGTGCGAGGGAGAGAGAGAGAGCAAGACAGCGCTTAGTTTTGAGACGGTGAAGCCTTGTTTATACTTTCGCCTGGCTCCGCAGAGAGAGAGAGAGTGCGCGCGCGCGACCGGGGCTCGCTCACTCTCTCTCTCTCTCTCTCTCTCTCTCTCTCTCTCTCTCTCTCTCTCTCTCTCTCTCTCTCTCTCTCTCTCTCTCTCTCTCTCTCTCTCTCTCTCTCTCTCTCTCTCTCTCTCTCTCTGCTCGTTCAGTTCACGCGCCCTGTCACACGCGCATGAGGAGAAAAACACAGACGTCCATAGGGAGGCACTGGAAGCGTGCGTTGCACACACCAACATGCAATACTCTCTTACAAATCTGGAACGCGGTCATTCTTAGAAGTATCGATACTAATAAATGTAGGTATCGTGAAGTTTTTAATTTCCGAGTATCGCGATACTTTTGAAGTATCGGTGCACCGTGCAACACTAGTGTGTGTGTGTGACGGTGTTGACTGTCTCAGCGAGGAGGAGAAGAGGAGAGTCAGTCGTCGGGGAGCAGTGTGTGTGTGTGACGGTGTTGATGACTGTCTCAGCGAGGAGGAGAAGAGGGGAGTCAGTCGTCGGGGAGCAGTGTGTGTGTGTGTGTGTGTGTGTGTGTGACGGTGTTGATGACTGTCTCAGCGAGGAGGAGAAGAGGACAGTCAGTCGTCGGGGAGCAGTGTGTGTGTGTTTGTGTGACTGTGTTGATGACTGTGTCTCAGCGAGGAGGAGGAGAGTCAGTCGTCGGGGAGCTGTGTGTGTGTGTGTGTGTGTGTGACGGTGTTGATGACTGTGTCTCAGCAAGGAGGAGAAGAGGGGAGTCAGTTGTCGGGGAGCAGTGTGTGTGTGTGACGGTGTTGATGACTGTCTCAGCGAGGAGGAGAAGAGGAGAGTCAGTCGTCGGGGAGCAGTGTGTGTGTGTGTGTGTGTGTGTGTGTGTGTGACGGTGTTGATGACTGTCTCAGCGAGGAGGAGAAGAGGGGAGTCAGTCGTCGGGGAGCAGTGTGTGTGTGTGACGGTGTTGATGACTGTCTCAGCGAGGAGGAGAAGAGGAGAGTCAGTCGTCGGGGAGCAGTGTGTGTGTGTGTGTGTGTGACGGTGTTGATGACTGTCTCAGCGAGGAGGAGAAGAGGGGAGTCAGTCGTCGGGGAGCAGTGTGTGTGTGTGTGTGTGACGGTGTTGATGACTGTCTCAGCGAGGAGGAGAGTCAGTCGTCGGGGAGCAGTGTGTGTGTGTGTGACGGTGTTGATGACTGTCTCAGCGAGGAGGAGAAGAGGAGAGTCAGTCGTCGGGGAGCAGTGTGTGTGTGTGTGTGTGACGGTGTTGATGACTGTGTCTCAGCGAGGAGGAGAAGAGGGGAGTCAGTCGTCGGGGAGCAGTGTGTGTGTGTGTGTGTGTGTGTGACGGTGTTGATGACTGTGTCTCAGCGAGGAGGAGAAGAGGGGAGTCAGTCGTCGGGGAGCAGTGTGTGTGTGTGTGACGGTGTTGATGACTGTCTCAGCGAGGAGGAGAAGAGGGGAGTCAGTCCTCGGGGAGCAGTGTGTGTGTGTGTGTGTGTGACGGTGTTGATGACTGTGTCTCAGCGAAGAGGAGAGTCAGTCGTCGGGGAGCAGTGTGTGTGTGTGTGTGTGTGTGTGACGGTGTTGATGACTGTGTCTCAGCGAGGAGGAGGAGAGGGGAGTCAGTCGTCGGGGAGCAGTGTGTGTGTGTGTGTGACGGTGTTGATGACTGTGTCTCAGCGAGGAGGAGAAGAGGGGAGTCAGTCGTCGAGGAGCTGTGTGTGTGTGTGTGTGTGTGTGTGTGTGTGACGGTGTTGATGACTGTGTCTCAGCGAGGAGGAGAGTCAGTCGTCGGGAAGCGTGTGTGTGTGTGTGTGTGTGTGTGTGACGGTGTTGATGACTGTGTCTCAGCGAGGAGGAGAAGAGGAGAGTCAGTCGTCGGGGAGCTGTGTGTGTGTGTGACGGTGTTGATGACTGTGTCTCAGCGAGGAGGAGAAGAGGAGAGTCAGTCGTCGGGGAGCTGTGTGTGTGTGTGTGTGTGTGACGGTGTTGATGACTGTGTCTCAGCGAGCAGGAGAAGAGGGGAGTCAGTCGTCGGGGAGCAGTGTGTGTGTGTGTGACGGTGTTGATGACTGTGTCTCAGCGAGGAGGAGAGTCAGTCGTCGGGGAGCGTGTGTGTGTGTGTGACGGTGTTGATGACTGTCTCAGCGAGGAGGAGAAGAGGGGAGTCAGTCGTCGGGGAGCTGTGTGTGTGTGTGTGTGTGACGGTGTTGATGACTGTGTCTCAGCGAGGAGGAGAAGAGGGGAGTCAGTCGTCGGGGAGCAGTGTGTGTGTGACGGTGTTGATGACTGTGTCTCAGCGAGGAGGAGAAGAGGAGAGTCAGTCGTCGGGGAGCAGTGTGTGTGTGTGTGTGACGGTGTTGATGACTGTGTCTCAGCGAGGAGGAGAAGAGGGGAGTCAGTCGTCGGGGACCAGTGTGTGTGTGTGTGTGTGACTGTGTTGATGATTGTGTCTCATCGAGGAGGAGAAGAGGGGAGTCAGTCGTCGGGGAGCAGTGTGTGTGTGTGTGTGTGTGTGTGTGACTGTGTTGATGATTGTGTCTCAGCGAGGAGGAGAAGAGGAGAGTCAGTCGTCGGGGAGCTGTGTGTGTGTGTGTGTGTGTTTGTGTGACGGTGTTGATGACTGTGTCTCAGCGAGGAGGAGGAGAGGAGTGTCAGTCGTCAGGGAGCTGTGTGTGTGTGTGTGACGGTGTTGATGACTGTGTCTCAGCGAGGAGGAGAAGAGGGGAGTCAGTCGTCGGGGAGCTGTGTGTGTGTGTGTGACGGTGTTGATGACTGTGTCTCAGCGAGGAGGAGAAGAGGGGAGTCAGTCGTCGGGGAGCAGTGTGTGTGTGTGTGTGTGTGTGACTGTGTTGATGATTGTGTCTCAGCAAGGAGGAGAAGAGGAGAGTCAGTCGTCGGGGAGCTGTGTGTGTGACGGTGTTGATGACTGTGTCTCAGCGAGGAGGAGGAGAGTCAGTCGTCGGGGAGCAGTGTGTGTGTGTGTGTGACGGTGTTGATGACTGTCTCAGCGAGGAGGAGAAGAGGGGAGTCAGTCGTCGGGGAGCAGTGTGTGTGTGTGTGTGTGACGGTGTTGATGACTGTCTCAGCGAGGAGGAGAGTCAGTCGTCGGGGAGCTGTGTGTGTGTGTGTGACGGTGTTGATGACTGTGTCTCAGCGAGGAGGAGAAGAGGGGAGTCAGTCGTCGGGGAGCAGTGTGTGTGTGTGACTGTGTTGATGATTGTGTCTCAGCAAGGAGGAGAAGAGGAGAGTCAGTCGTCGGGGAGCTGTGTGTGTGTGTGTGACGGTGTTGATGACTGTGTCTCAGCGAGGAGGAGAAGAGGGGAGTCAGTCGTCGGGGAGCAGTGTGTGTGTGTGACTGTGTTGATGATTGTGTCTCAGCAAGGAGGAGAAGAGGAGAGTCAGTCGTCGGGGAGCAGTGTGTGTGTGTGTGACGGTGTTGATGACTGTGTCTCAGCGAGGAGGAGAAGAGGGGAGTCAGTCGTCGGGGAGCAGTGTGTGTGTGTGTTGATGACTGTCTCAGCGAGGAGGAGAAGAGGGGAGTCAGTCGTCGGGGAGCAGTGTGTGTGTGTGTGTGTGTGTGTGTGACGGTGTTGATGACTGTGTCTCAGCGAGGAGGAGAAGAGGGGAGTCAGTCGTCGGGGAGCAGTGTGTGTGTGTGTGTGACGGTGTTGATGACTGTGTCTCAGCGAGGAGGAGAAGAGGAGAGTCAGTCGTCGGGGAGCTGTGTGTGTGTGTGTGTGTGTGTGACGGTGTTGATGACTGTGTCTCAGCGAGGAGGAGGAGAGGAGAGTCAGTCGTCGGGGAGCTGTGTGTGTGACGGTGTTGATGACTGTGTCTCAGCGAGGAGGAGAAGAGGGGAGTCAGTCGTCGGGGAGCTGTGTGTGTGTGTGTGTGACGGTGTTGATGACTGTGTCTCAGCGAGGAGGAGAAGAGGAGAGTCAGTCGTCGGGGAGCAGTGTGTGTGTGTGTGTGTGTGACTGTGTTGATGACTGTGTCTCAGCGAGGAGGAGGAGAGGAGAGTCAGTCGTCGGGGAGCTGTGTGTGTGTGTGTGACGGTGTTGATGACTGTGTCTCAGCGAGGAGGAGAAGAGGGGAGTCAGTCGTCGGGGAGCAGAAGGAAGGGAAGAGTGAAGATGAAACCGGGAAACAGAAGGAAACGTCACAGGATCAGTCCATAGCTCCTGTGAGCACCGCTAGCAAACCGGTCCGTACGCCACAATACTGACATCATTCTGCTCAGATCTCATACTCTATAGGTTTCTTCTGTATAGACATATGGTATTAATTTTATTTGTGCAGGTCTCAAAACATTTGATTTCTAAAACCTTGTTTAAACTTTTGTCTGTTTGTCACTGATGGTGAATCAGGTGGAGAGTTTGAACGGGAAGACGCTGGAACTGGAACAACACGGAGACTCCTACAACTTCAGCGTGAGAAACACTGCTTGCACACACACACACACACACACACACACACACTCTCTCTCTCTCTCTCTCTCTCTCTCTCTCTCTCTCTCTCTCTCTCTCTCTCTCTCTCTCTCTCTCTCTCTCTCTCTCTCTCTCTCACAGATACAGAAACATACAGACACTCACACATATACACTCACTCACTCACTCACTCACTCAAACACACTGATGATGTCAGCTGACAGTCTGCTTTCTCTGTTTCGTCTCATGAGCTCACAATCTCACACACACTGATGACGGTCTGCTTTCTCTCTGTCTCAGTTTCGTCTCATCATGAGCTCGCGATCTCAAGGCCTTTACAACCTGGACTTCCAGAACTGCAACAACATGAGGCAGAGGAAGCCGAGTCCGTATTCTCTACATGTGAGTGAGTGTGTGTGTGTGTGATGGGTAGGTTTAGGGGTAGGGTTAGTGTAGGAACCTGCTAGTGTTGCGGAGCGGGCGTGTTACGGATACATGGTGTACATTTTTTAAGCAATCAAAAAGAGTGTCTAATTAATTGAAATAATGTATTATGAATCATTAAACTTATACAACATTTAAAACAAATATATGAAAAATATTTTCACTAACTCTGTGTTTTTTCTGGTAATAAAATGAAGACATAAAACACAAATTTTATCATTTATCATCAATTTTAATCATATGAAATTAAATAAACTTTTTGTCAAATAACGTGCTGCACAATGAGCTTTACTGTTAAAATTAAAACATGGATTATTTCTTAAATTCAGTTTTGATGATAATTTATTTGGATTAGTGTTAGTATTATTACATTGGGACATATCTAAATTCTACTGTACAACGGTAATATATTTCTGTCAAGTTAAACCGAACTTTTATTTTGACGGGTTGCCGTGAAGACCTTTTGAGTTTCTGTGTGTTTATAGCTATTGGCGCTTTTCCATTACCAGTACCAGCTCGACTCGACTCGACTCGCCTTGGCTCGCCTCGACTCGGCTCGCTTTTCGCTCCGTTTACCATTGCAGAAAGTACCGCCACAAATAGTACCCGGTCGTCATAGCGACGCATTTCGTTCCTCGTTGCCCCATCAAGCTCTCGCTGGATCCTCTCTTTGGCAACCAAACAAAGGAATGTCTGCACCTCCTCGTTTGACCACGGCGTATTCTTCCGAGTTGCCATAATAATAGTAGTAAGTTTAGTCACTATCTCTGGCCAAACTATTTAAAATACTCCATCTGGCGCGTGCAATGATGACGCAGATTCTCTGTGACCAATCAGCAGTCGGCATTGTTTTCACGTCACATTTTAGTATCGGGTTAGCTCGCCTCAGCTCGCTTGGAACCTCGCCGGAGGTGGTACGAAAAAAAGTACCCGAAAGCAGGTACAGGTACAACTTTTACACAGTGGAAAACCAAACAAAGGCGAGTCGAGCCGAGCCGAGCCGAGGCGAGCTGGTACTGTGTAGTGGAAAAGCGCCATATGTTTCCATCCACACGGTTTTATCCGCATTAAGTGATATCGAATGAAACATGCCTTATGGAAACATTTCATGAATATCGACTCAAATGAAATACGATCGGTCTCATCGGATTTTATCTTGATGGATATACGGTTAAATGATCACGAAGTGACTTTCGGAGTGGATCTAGAGCCTGGAGAGGAAGTTCATGCATTTGTGTCTTCATATAGGCAAAAAAAACAGCGCAAGCGTTACACGTGCTTCAGTGTGTGTGTGTGGTAAATTAAACTGCTTTTTTATGGGGGGCGGGTGGGCGGGCCGCCCCCCTAAAACAATGGTAGGGGAAACACTGACCATTAAGCCTATGGAGGTCTTCACAAGTATAGTAAACCAAACGTGTGTGTGTGTGTGTCAGGTGGAGATCACCGAGAAGAACCCCAGAGGTTATCTGTCAGCGTCTGATATTCCTCTGCCGCGTCTCTACATCTGCATGGCAGCGATCTTCTTCACCGCCGCTGTGGTGTGGACATACACACTGCTCAAGTACAGGTACACACACACACACACACAAACACACACACACACACACACACACACTCACTCATCCACTACACTGGATCTGTCACTGTGAGTAAACGCTGTGGTGTGGACATACACACTGCTCAAGTACAGGTACACACACACACACACACACATCCACTGCACTGGATCTGTCACTGTGAGTAAACGCTGTGGTGTTTATGATATGTGTTTATGGTGTGTGTGTGTTTATGGTGTGTGTGTGACAGGTACAGTGTGTTTAAGATCCACTGGCTGATGGCAGCTCTGGCCTACACTAAAGCCGTGTCTCTGCTGTTCCACAGTGTGAGTAAAAACTCCCTCCAGCAACTCTTATTTTCAATTTAATTTAGTAGTTTTTTGTTATTTTAGTACTTCAACTTGGTTGTTATTACAGTGATTATAAATGATACAACAGCGATATACTCATATGCATATGTACTCATAAATAACTCTATTTACTGTGATATATGTGTTGGTTTCCTGCTCTGCTCACTCGTTTGTCTTCCTCCAGATCAACTATCACTTCATCAACTCTGAGGGTCATCCTATCGAAGGCTGGGCCGTCATGTACTACATCACTCACCTGTGCGTATCTCACACACACACACACACACTTCCCTTCTGTTCTCAGAACGCGTGTTGAATGTCATGTGATGTGTGTGTGTGTGTGTGTGTCAGGCTGAAGGGCGCTCTTCTGTTCATCACACTGGCTCTCATCGGCACCGGCTTCGCCTTCGTCAAATACATCCTGTCAGACAAAGAGAAGAAGATCTTCATGATCGTCATTCCTCTGCAGGTGAGTGAGTGTGAGTGTGAGTGAGTGTGAGTGAGTGAGTGAGTGTGAGTGTGAGTGTGAGTGTGAGTGTGAGTGTGAGTGTGAGTGTTAGTGTGAGTGTGAGTGTGAGTGAGTGCGAGAGCTAGTGCGAGAGCTAGTGCGAGAGCTAGTGCGAGAGCTAGTGCGAGAGCTAGTGCGAGAGCGAGAGCTAGTGCGAGAGCTAGTGCGAGAGCTAGTGCGAGAGCTAGTGCGAGAGCTAGTGCGAGAGCTAGTGCGAGAGCTAGTGCGAGAGCTAGTGCGAGAGCTAAAGCGAGAGCTAGTGCGAGAGCTAGTGCGAGAGCTAGTGCGAGAGCTAAAGCGAGAGCTAGTGCGAGAGCTAAAGCGAGAGCTAGTGCGAGAGCTAAAGCGAGAGCTAGTGCGAGAGCTAAAGCGAGAGCTAGTGCGAGAGCTAGTGCGAGAGCTAGTGCGAGAGCTAGTGCGAGAGCTAGTGCGAGAGCTAGTGCGAGAGCGAGAGCTAGTGCGAGAGCTAGTGCGAGAGCGAGAGCTAGTGCGAGAGCTAGTGCGAGAGCGAGAGCTAGTGCGAGAGCTAGTGCGAGAGCGAGAGCTAGTGCGAGAGCTAGTGCGAGAGCTAGTGCGAGAGCTAGTGCGAGAGCTAGTGCGAGAGCTAGTGCGAGAGCTAGTGCGAGAGCTAGTGCGAGAGTGCGAGAGCTAGTGCGAGAGTGCGAGAGCTAGTGCGAGAGTGCGAGAGCTAGTGCGAGAGTGCGAGAGCTAGTGCGAGAGTGCGAGAGCTAGTGCGAGAGTGCGAGAGCTAGTGCGAGAGTGCGAGAGCTAGTGCGAGAGTGCGAGAGCTAGTGCGAGAGCTAGTGCGAGAGCTAGTGCGAGAGCTAGTGCGAGAGCTAGTGCGAGAGCTAGTGCGAGAGCTAGTGCGAGAGCTAGTGCGAGAGCTAGTGCGAGAGTGCGAGAGCTAGTGCGAGAGCTAGTGCGAGAGTGCGAGAGCTAGTGCGAGAGCTAGTGCGAGAGCTAGTGCGAGAGTGCGAGAGCTAGTGCGAGAGTGCGAGAGCTAGTGCGAGAGTGCGAGAGCTAGTGCGAGAGCTAGTGCGAGAGCTAGTGCGAGAGCTAGTGCGAGAGTGCGAGAGCTAGTGCGAGAGTGCGAGAGCTAGTGCGAGAGTGCGAGAGTGCGAGAGCTAGTGCGAGAGTGCGAGAGCTAGTGCGAGAGCTAGTGCGAGAGTGCGAGAGCTAGTGCGAGAGTGCGAGAGCTAGTGCGAGAGCCAGTGCGAGAGCTAGTCCGAGAGCCAGTGCGAGAGCGAGAGCGAGATCTAGTGCGAGAGCGAGAGCTAGTGCGAGAGCTAGTGCGAGAGCTAGTGCGAGAGCTAGTGCGAGAGCTAGTGCGAGAGCTAGTCCGAGATCTAGTGCGAGAGCTAGTGCGAGAGCTAAAGCGAGAGCGAGAGCTAGTGTGAGAGCTAGAGCGAGAGCTAGTGCGAGAGCTAGTGCGAGAGCGAGAGCTAGTGCGAGAGCGAGAGCGAGTGCGAGAGCTAGTGCGAGAGCGAGAGCGAGAGCTAGTGCGAGAGCTAGTGCGAGAGCTAGTGCGAGAGCGAGAGCTAGTGCGAGAGCTAGTGCGAGAGCGAGAGCTAGTGCGAGAGCGAGAGCTAGTGCGAGAGCTAGTGCGAGAGCTAGTGCGAGAGCGAGAGCTAGTGCGAGAGCTAGTGCGAGAGCTAGTGCGAGAGCGAGAGCTAGTGCGAGAGCGAGAGCTAGTGCGAGAGCGTGTGTGCGAGTGTGTGTTTCTGATCTGTTGTCAGACACTGATGTTGATGTTCTGCTGCAGGTTCTGGCTAACGTGTCGTACATCATCATCGAGGAGACGGAGGAGGGAGCGAGTGAATACGCCCTGTGGAGGGAGATCCTGTTCCTGGTGGATCTGATCTGCTGCGGAGCCGTCCTGTTCCCCGTCGTCTGGTGTGTGTGTGTGTGTGTGTGTGTGTGTGTGAGGCTCGTGATCTGCTGCTGTTCTGTGTTATCTGATGGGGTTTTATCATTATGTGTCCAACAGGTCCATCCGGCATCTGCAGGAGGCTTCCAACACAGATGGCAAAGGTGCGTGTGTGTGTGTGTGTGTGTGTGTGTGTGTGTGTGTGTGTGTGTGTGTGTGTGTGTTTTATCGGTACAGTTATCGTTATAGTTACCAGTATAATAATCAGTATTGTTATCGGTATAGTTATTAAGTATCATTATAGTTATTGGCACAGATATGAGTATAATTATCAGTACAGTTAATTATTGTTGTTATAATCGTTATTGTTTTTAAGTTATCGTTGTTCTTGTTTGTGTGTGTGTGTGTGTATGTTTGTTTGTAAATACACAATGCTTGTGTGTGTTTGTTCTCTTGTAGCTGCCATGAACCTGGAGAAGTTGAAGCTCTTCAGACATTATTACGTGATGGTGAGACGTTTCATCCACTCGCATCCACTCTAACTTTATTCAGATCATTGAGCTGGAGCAGAGTGAAAGCGTTTGTGTCTGTCCTCAGATTGTGTGTTATATCTACTTCACTCGGATCATCGCGATCCTGCTGAAGGTCACGGTGCCGTTCCAGTGGCAGTGGTGTCAAGAGGTAATCCTCGGGAATACTCCAGAGTTCGGCTGCAGTACCGAACGCCTCCACTAGAGGAAACTCGTCTCCCATTCATTTCCAATGCGCTCGTTTCTGACCGCGAGGAGCACAAGTGTCAATATTTAATACAGGACCTTTTAACCTGTTTGAATCATGTACATGATTTTTGTGCGTTCACACAGCAAGTGTCAAAAACCTTTACCAAGTTTCGCACCATTCCAATGAAGTAGAAAATAAAAAAATCTTAATTTATTGAGCCCTCCTTAAAACCTGGTGTCATTTGTCTTGTGTTTGCAGTTTTTAGTGGAGATTTCTACTCTGATCTTCTTCGTCTTGACGGGATTCAAGTTCCGTCCAGCGTCAAATAACCCGTATCTCCAGTTGCCTCAGGACGAGGAGGACCTGGAGATGGATGAAGTGTAGGTCTCTCTCTCTCTCTCTCTCTCTCTCTCTGTGTGTGTGTGTGTGTGTGTGTCAGAAGTTCAGTGTGTGATGTTTCTTCTCTCCGCACACAGTATAACAGAATCAGGAGCGCTGGAAGGCATCCACAAGGTGAAGAAAACGTCTAACGGCCGAGAGAGACAGAGAGAGGTTGCGTTGTGAGTTTCATATCGAAGAGGGCGGGGCCTGGACTTTAAGCCCCTCCCCTTCCAGGGAAACCACAGACTCGCTATGCAAGTGAAATAAAGACGGGATGGGAGAACCGTGTGAGAATAAAGCGCGACTTCCGTCAGTTTTCCGTGAGAGAACGAGCTGATTTTCCCATACGGACTCTGGGACGGCGGTGACAGACCCAATCTTTCGCTTGGTTTACAGTAATGATATGGTCACTGCTCTATCCGTTAATTTGTTTGCTAATTTTTTTTCTTTCATTCCAAAGATTTACAATCATTATACTGGATGTGCTCAATTAATTTGATTTTAGCCTTCTTTAATTTCCAATTATTATTTAACCGAAGCTGTTTGATGGTGTGTTTCTTTTCTGAATTGATGCTACTGTTTGTATATCATGTTTTTTCTTTTGTTGTTGTTGTTTTGTTTATTAGACGGCTGGAGATTGTTGTTGTTGTTGTTCATAAAACAGGTTGGTTACCCAGACACCATCAGTTACGCTGAAACTTAATCTGAATGAAACCAGTGTTTCTTTTTCCTCAGACAGATGGAATAGGTGGATTTGTGGCCGTTATATAAATATCTTTAATGTGTGTTTCACCAGAGTCCAGTACTGTTAACATTAAATATTCTGTCCTGGATGAAGTTCCTGAGAATTTTATCAGACATGATAACGATTCGCACCAATAACGATTTGTCTTTTGCTTCTTTGGAGTAGGTTGTGATATATTTTTCTGATGACTCTGATTTAAATGAATCCTGTTATAAATGAAGGACTAGCCACGTTACACCGCGTATATACTGCGCATGCGCCGACTGCAGGGTTGCCGCTAAAACCAACGGTCTACAGTGAAAGCGCGCGAAACTTCAGTCATTATAATATGACGTTGTAGTTCAATCGCAGTATAGACACGGTTCAGACGTGAGAACTTCACTCCAGTTTTTACTCCCTCCTTCAATGCTTTTAGTCTGGCTAATATTTCCACAAACTGTCTGAGAAATAAACTTTTCCTGCTTGATTTATATTGCTGGTTTATCATGTGAATTGTGTTCGAGTTTAAAATAAATCAAATAACTTAATTGTCGACTCGTTTCTTTGGCTTGTGAATGTGTGAGGAAAAGAGTTTATTTAGCGCTTCCGCAGCGCGCGCCTCTCTCGTCTCGTGCTCGAGCGCACGCGCAGATGATCGTGCACGCGCTCCGGTGCCGATGTCATCCACCCAGTTTCATCTCGCGCTTTCAAATAAACCACAATGTGAGTATAAAATAATATGTGCATTTGGTTTTGTAACAGAAATGCATGGATGTTAAATATGTGAGGAATGCTGTAATTCACTGAGCTTGAATGGGCAGTTTTGATGGATGCCTGAAATCTTAAAAGTTTTTACTGCATAGCCTTAAATTAGGCTATGATGGACTGAGTTAACGGGACTTGGTAATGTTGCAGATTAATATTAATATATTAATATTATATATTTTTATATTTTGCATTGAGAAATAGACTAGTTCAAATAAATGTTTTATGACAGGGATGTGTGTGATCGATGAGGGTGTTTCGGGTTTAAGTTTCTCCGCAGTGCGGTGTGTGTGTCTGAGAGAGAGAGAGAGTGTGTGTGTGTGTGTGTGTGTGTGTGTGTGTGTCTCAGAGAGAGAGAGAGTGTGTGTGTGTGTCTGAAAGAGAGAGAGCGACTGTGTGTGTGTGTGTGTCTGAAAGAGAGAGAGAGAGTGTGTGTATGTGTGTGTGTAAACCAGGACCAGCTGAAAGTTTCTATTCTTGGCTTTTCTCAGGGACTCTATTTATGATGCAGCATTTTCTCTCATAATTCAGTTTTCATTTTTTTTTTTTTTAATTAGTTTAATTATTAGTAATGAATAAATGTTTGTGTTTATTCATTTTAGTCCTAATAATTGTATGGAAGCCCATTCCTGCTCAAAATAAATAAAAAATGCTTTTGGAAATGAAATAAAGTCTAAATGATTTTTTTTTTTTCAAAGTCATAATTGACATATCTCATAATTTTTATGACATTATGACTTTGTGTTACACTTTATAATGTCATAATTAGCTTTTTTTGTCATGATTTTGACTTTTCATCTGATAAATGACTTTTTTATGTCTTAATTACGTCTTATTGAAGCATGATTTATACATATTTTTTTTTTTTCAGAAATGGATGTTCATATATAGTTACAGCTCATTGATACAGTGATTGTTACAGTATTTCAAACGCCTCATAGAAACTGTAAACGTACAGTTTGAAAAGATCCGCATTCTGGTGAAATCAGTCCATTTCAGTTATTCTTGTAATCTCACATTGCTAGAAATATATCTTACCTGTGATTTTGCTGGCAAAACACACGTTTGTTTCTGTTGCATTCACAAGGATGTGGCAAATTATTGATTATTTATGTTAACATTTTATTTTAGTATTTAGTGAATGTTTACACATTTCATTGCATAAGTTAAAGGGTTAGTTGATCATCCGTCATCATTTACTCGTCAAACCTGTTTGTGTTTCTTTCTTCTGTGAAACACAAATGAACATTTTTACAGTTTTTTTGTCCAATGAAAGTCAATGGGGTCCAAAGTCATTCTTCACAATATCATAAAGTCATACAGGTTAGTAATAGTATTGCAATGTCAATATACACCAAAATCGATGTGTGACCGAGTATTGTGTGTGTTTCCAGGAGTGTGTGTGTTCTGTCGCTGCTGCTGTCGCTGCTGTCGCTGGAGTCGCTGGCCGTCAGCGTCGGGTCAGATATTCCTCATCATTATTAACTAGGGGTGTCACCATTCCCGCATGACACGATACGATACATATCACGATACGATATTATTGCGATACTCCAAATGTACTGTTGATTAAAATGCTAAATTTGATATTACATTGTGTGTGTAAATAAATATTCTTGGACTTTGGTGCTGAAACCCAAAGCACAGACAATAGAGACACCAGAATACACACATTCATGATTCTGAAGCTGAAAATACTGAATTATTTTAGACGAATATGCTTGATCTCGGTCTCTGACTAGATATGTTACCAGTAAAAAGTGGCCAACGTTATTTTAAATATAAGACATTTGGCATTATCAGGACACACACATATTCCCTCATTACATTATTATGCATTATATTCACTCACCTAAAGGATTATTAGGAACACCATACTAATACTGTGTTTGACCCCCTTTCGCCTTCAGAACTGCCTTAATTCTACGTGGCATTGATTCAACAAGGTGCTGAAAGCATTCTTTAGAAATGTTGGCCCATATTGATAGGATAGCATCTTGCAGTTGATGGAGATTTGTGGGATGCACATCCAGGGCACGAAGCTCCCGTTCCACCACATCCCAAAGATGCTCTATTGGGTTGAGATCTGGTGACTGTGGGGGCCATTTTAGTACAGTGAACTCATTGTCATGTTCAAGAAACCAATTTGAAATGATTCGAGCTTTGTGACATGGTGCATTATCCTGCTGGAAGTAGCCATCAGAGGAAGGGTACATGGTGGCCATAAAGGGATGGACATGGTCAGAAACAATGCTCAGGTAGGCCGTGGCATTTAAACGATGCCCAATTGGCACTAAGGGGCCTAAAGTGTGCCAAGAAAACATCCCCCACACCATTACACCACCACCACCAGCCTGCACAGTGGTAACAAGGCATGATGGATCCATGTTCTCATTCTGTTTACGCCAAATTCTGACTCTAACATCTGAATGTCTCAACAGAAATCGAGACTCATCAGACCAGGCAACATTTTTCCAGTCTTCAACTGTCCAATTTTGGTGAGCTCTTGCAAATTGTAGCCTCTTTTTCCTATTTGTAGTGGAGATGAGTGGTACCCGGTGGGGTCTTCTGCTGTTGTAGCCCATCCGCCTCAAGGTTGTGCGTGTTGTGGCTTCACAAATGCTTTGCTGCATACCTCGGTTGTAACGAGTGGTTATTTCAGTCAAAGTTGCTCTTCTATCAGCTTGAATCAGTTGGCCCATTCTCCTCTGACCTCTAGCATCAACAAGGCATTTTCGCCCACAGGACTGGATGTTTTTCCCTTTTCACACCATTCTTTGTAAACCCTAGAAATGGTTGTGCGTGAAAATCCCAGTAACTGAGCAGATTGTGAAATACTCAGACCGGCCCGTCTGGCACCAACAACCATGCCACGCTCAAAATTGCTTAAATCACCTTTCTTTCCCATTCTGACATTCAGTTTGGAGTTCAGGAGATTTTCTTGACCAGGACCACACCCCTAAATGCATTGAAGCAACTGACATGTGATTGGTTGATTAGATAATTGCATTAATGAGAAATTGAACAGGTGTTCCTAATAATCCTTTAGGAGTGTATAGTAGTTTAATGTAGAACTGACACTAAAACTTTGAAAATTCGATTTTTTTTCTCATACCGAAATTTTCATTTTGGGTGAACTATCCACAATACATATTGTTGCATTTTAGTATTGCGATATATTGCACACAATATATTGTTCCACCTGTTCTGAACCCTGCGCTGGCGACGGCAGGATTGAACCCGTGCCTGTGTCTCCCGCAGCCCCAGTAACTCGTCCAGCGGTCTCTGCACCGCGTCTGACCAGTGTCTTCAGTTCCAGCTGGTCTGCAGGACGCACGAGTACGAGGTCAGACTCACCAAATCAAAACCTAGAGAATCAACAGTGCTGGGGAAAGCTACTTTTAAAAGTAATGCATTACAATATTGCGTTACTCTCATAAAAAGTAACTAACTGCGTTACTTTTTAAGAAAAGTAATGTGTTAGATTACTCTTGCGTTACTTTTTCTCACCTGGGCTGGACTTGCTTGTTTTTGTTTTTTATAACAACAAATGTTTTTGGTAAATGTTAAGACCCTTCACACCAAAAGTGAAATGAATAAGCCTTAAGGCCTGTTCACACCGGGACGAATTTCGCGCGCGATATTCGCCGACGTTTAACGCCTTGCGACTAAACTAAGGGCGCCAATGTGAGTGTGCACACCGACGTGGAAAACGCCAAGCGTGAAAGCGCCATTTTTTTTAAAAACGCCTCTGGTTCGTTTTTTTGGTTTGACACACCGCGTCAAAAACTATCGGACCAATGAGATTGGCGCTTTTGCTCACGAGTCTGGAGTTACAGTAAAACACAACTTGGGGGCGCTCAAACACAAAACGGTCTTGCCGAGCACACATACGTAACGGCGAAGAAGAAATACGCCAAGTAGCGTCTACACTGCCGAGGAGAAATAAGACGAGGAAGATGCAAGGCCAGATGAATGTAGAGCTGCTGGTCTCGTTGGTGTCGGAACATAAAGAACTATATGACAAACGCGACAGCGACTACAAAAATCTTGATTAAAGAGAACTGTTATGGAGTGGTATTGCAGAGCTAATGGGCGCCATCTAATGTCAGGGAATGAATTTGCATGTTCACTCGGCTCATCGTCAGCGAAAATCACTTGGGTGTGAACACAAAAAACGCGTTGAAAAACGCTGACGAATAACGCGCGCCGATATTCGTCCCGGTGTGTACGAGCCTTTAGGCTGAAGGAAATGCATTGTCAAGAAAATGTTAAATAAAAAAATGTACGTTTACCCATTCAAAGAGATAGGAGCTGCACTTGCATGTTTCAAAGATGGCCGTCGAGTGAAATGACTTGACCCTCATCCTTCCTTGGGGTCATATTGAGCCGGAAAATATTTTAGAAATGGTTTACAAATTGAGTGTTCATCAGAAACCACAAATACACACACACAAACATTCGAGTTTTGTAGTCACTTTTTTGTTTTGTGGGGTCAAATTGACCCCTTCAGGAATGAATGGAATGTGAGGAATGCTTCAGTAACATAGAAAAACCTAAAAATGCTCAAAATTCAAACTAAAAATGCTAAAACTTTACCAAAAAATTATTTTATAATGTCTACATGTGTATCTGAATGCACACTAAATGAACTGGCTTTAGGACCCAGCGGAACAGCTCCTCTGCTCCATAATATAGCTATAAGTCATGAAATATCACATTATATTATTATTATTTTCCACAAGAGGTCAGCAAAGACTCACAATGTAAGCTATTTTGAGCTGAATTAAAAGGGTTATGCATGAAATTGTGAGTTATTTTGAATGTAAGTTGAAAGAATGTGAGGAATGTGCTCAAATGACTAAATTACTATTTATTTATTGATCAAATCTAGTCATTTAAAGGTAAAAAAAAAAAAAATCCCAAAAAATTGCATAAGAAATAGAAAAAAATATTATCAAAATGAAATAAAATAAGCTTTCTGGACAAAAAAAAAAAAAAAAAAGTATAATTTTAGAGTCATTTTGACCGGCGAGGGAAAGATGAAGGCAAAAGAGACTCTGGTTGAATCTGAAGTCTGATAAGTGTGATGTGTGTGTGTGTGTGTGTGTGTGTGTGTGTGTGTGTGTGTGTGTGTGTGTGTGTGTGTGTGTGTGTGTGTGTGTGTGTGTGTGTGTGTGTGTGTGTGTGTGTGTGTGTGTGTGTGTAGGTGCGCCGCTACTCGTCCTCGCGCTGGGTCTCCACGGACGCGGAGGCGTATTTCCTCGGCGTTGGAGCCGCCATGGCCTTCAGACGCCTCTATCATTACATCTCTGGAGCCAATAAAGAGGGTCTGTGAGAACGTTCATATCATAAACGTGCTGTCAGGTGACGCGACTGACACAGCTCTGTGTGTGTGTGTGTGTGTAGGCGTGACGTTTGAGATGACGGCTCCGGTGCTTGTTGAAGTTCCTGAGGAAGTGAAGATGTGGGAACCGGCGATCTACACGCTCAGCTTCCTGTTGCCGTCAGCCTATCAGGAGCGTCCGCCCACTCCCACCAATGAGAAGGTGACGTCCAGAGGCTCCACCCATTTTGTTTCAGTCTATGGTAGCGACATGGAAAATAACACTGCAATATTTATTACAATAATACATTTAGTTAAATGCTGCAGTTGTATTAGTATTAGTATTTAGCACTGCATTAGGTTGACAGAATTAAAACTCATTTGAACAAACTCTTTCCCCGCCATTGAAGGAATTTCTGTGTTTTCACTGTTATACGGTAGGGGGCGCTATTACACATCTCCTGAAAGAGTACTGATCAAAACACATGCGAAGAAACAGAAACAAGCGATCTCATATGTAAGCAGATCGCAGATGCATATGTAAAATAAAGCGATCATCAACATTAAACGGCATATAAATCAAAACTGCCTAATGTTACTGAATGAATTGTCGACCCAGGACGAGCTGCAGGACTGAAGCATTAGGGCTGTTGATGGACTCGATCGACTCCATCTGTGTTTTCATCATCGCTCTGAATTTGTCCGGATGTAGTCTTTGAGCAAAAAGCGTGATTTTCTCTGCTTTTTGCTCAATGTTTTTCACCTTTTTGTAATGAAACTTACCCACATTCAAGTGTTGATCAAATTGTGGAACACACCTGTTGGTTTCTCTCTTCGGTTCCTCGTTTAGGTAACCATAGCTTTAGCCAGAAACAGATGTCGTCAGGTGTACCCAACCTTCCTTGAGTGTTTCGACCCTTAGGCCCTGTGTCCACCAAAGCGTTTTTAGAGCTGAGTGTGTATTTCAGCGATATCGACCGGTCGCCGAGAGTTGAAGAATGTTCCAATCAAGCCGTCCAATCACAGTGGAGGAGGGGCGGGGCCAGTGTTGGGAAAGTTCATTTTCGACATGAACTAGTTCAAAGTTCAGTTCACAAATTTTAAAATGAACTAGTTCAGTTCATAGTTCATACTTCAAAAAATGAACTAGTTCATAGTTCTTTTTTTCCATATATTGCTGCGAGTTTTTTTTTTTTTTTTTTTTTTTTTTTGCCACAGGCAGCCCATATACAACCACAGACAGCAATTATTTTATCGACGGGCAAAGTTTGCACAGAAATTAAAGATTTTTCCCCATCCTCACCGACCTTGTCATAAAACTCGTTTAAATGATCATACGACGCCTCCTCGCTCGCTGCTTTGTCGACTACAGCTGCTTTTTGTTTTGATGACGCGTGCGGCGGTGCGTGCGACACTGGTGGCTGGTGTTGCCAGATTGGGTGTTTTTTTCGCTACATATTAAGGCCTGTTTACGTGTGTTTTAGCCGGGTTTTCGCCTGGAAGGCTCTATAGAAATCTGGCACCCTATTGAACGAAGTTAATCTGAGAGAGCGCGCGTTCACAGACACCAGAATGAACGCGCGTTCACAGTAACGTTCATCAGGCAGTAATACAGTACGTTCAGTTCACGTTCGCCCCAAAATATGAACGAGTTCATTGAACGCGTTCAGGCACAACACTGGGCGGGGCCAATACACACCGACCAACCGCCACATTCTGCTTGTACAACATCAACAGACGACAACAAGAAGCATAATAATGGAACAAAATAATTTAAAACAAGAGCCAGACCAAATATTTTGCATTGTATGGACATTTGAATATGTAAACAAACTATCTGTGAAATGAGATACTAGTAACACTTTCGCGGATATTCCGTACCATAGCAAAGCGTCTCGACTGAAAAAACGCTCTCAAGCGCCCACAGCTAGCGTTTCCAGCAGAGCCGTTGGTGGACACGTGGCCTTAACCACAACACTCTCCAGTTGGTGGGGCGGCAGTGGTGGCCAAATCCCTGCCCATCTGCTCCTGGCTTCCAGCTGTTCCTCTCTCTTACTCCACATCCAGCATGAAGCTCGATCAGCCTCTTCTCCCATCCTACGAGCAGCTTCTTGCTCTCTCGTCCTTACCTAAAGCTGACAGCAGCCGAAAGCCTCTTCACCCTACCTCCACAGGGAAAAGCCATGCCTTCCATCCCTTGTCTTTGCACATGGATCAAAGGCTGATATTCCAAGGCCTTCCTCACAGCCCTCCTCCCATGGACCCGGTCAGCTCGATTAGGAGGATTTGTCATTTAAGTTAGACCGCCTTTCTTCTGTCCGGCCTCTTGGATCAACCGGCTGATCACTGGTGTGTGTTCCAGACAGCCTGAACAGCCTGGGATACCACCGTTCTAGATGGAAGTCTTGATGTAGTTATTCTGAATCATGTAGGACAGGTGGTCAACCTCCTTGCTTCAATATGAGCGTCACATGATACGTGATTTACTTGTTTGATTAGTAACAGACATTGAGCAAAACCTGAAAGACTTCATTTTGCTTTAGTTACATTATTTGTAATCCTAGTTTCCAATAAAAAAACAGCATGTGATGTGATGTCAGTGTGTGTCATGTCAGTGTGTGTGGTGTTCTTTCAGCTGTATTTCACGGAGATGCCCGACATGGACGTGTACGTGAGGAGTTACGGCGGCTGGATGCTGTCGATCACGTCTCGACTCCACACACACCTGCTGAGCCGAGCGTTGACCAGAGCCCACGCGCACTTCAACCACACACACCACTACGCCGTGGGCTACGACAGGTCTCAACACACACACACACACACACACAAACACACACACACACACCCACACCCACACACCTGCTGACCAGAGCCCACGCGCACTTCAACCACACACACCACTACGCCGTGGGCTACGACAGGTCTCAACACACACACACACACACACACCCACACACCTGCTGAGCCGAGCGTTGACCAGAGCCCACGCGCACTTCAACCACACACACCACTACGCCGTGGGCTACGACAGGTCTCAACACACACACACACACACACACACCCACACACCTGCTGAGCCGAGCGTTGACCAGAGCCCACGCGCACTTCAACCACACACACCACTACGCCGTGGGCTACGACAGGTCTCAACACACACACACACACACACACACACACACACACACACACACACACACACACACACACACACACACACACACACACACACCTGCTGAGCCGAGCGCTGACCAGAGCCCACGCGCACTTCAACCACACACACCACTACGCCGTGGGCTACGACAGGTCTCAACACACACACACTTTATTTGTTCCTGGTTTTGTTCTGTACTTTTATTCCAAAGAAATAGTGTTTTGCTGAAAACGTTTTAGTTCACACCACCCGTCATTTTCAGCTTTATTTCTTCTTTTTTTTTGCTTTTTTTTTTTTTTTTTCACATCTCATCAGTCCCTATCTTTTCCTAATTATTATTATTATTATTATTATTTTTTTTTTTTGTGTGTTATGTGCAATGTCTAAGGTGCATTAAAAGAGGGAGTATTTCAGCTTTATTTCTACAGCACTTTATACAATACAGATTGTTTCTAAGCAGCTTCACAGTAATAAACAGGAAAATAACCTAATCAATGATGCAAATGTTATTTATTTAGTAAAATGTGTGTGTGTGTGTGTGTCAGTCCTCTGAAGCTGTTGAACAGGCATAATGAGGTGTGGTACGTGGCTGAAGGAGAGCCGGTCTGCGGATCGAACCCGACTGACGCACACTAAACGGGTAACACAAACTTATTGAGACACGTCTGGCTGGAGTTTCACACTATATTAACTGAATTTCCTTCTTTTACTCTCACAGGAAGCAGATGAACGTGTGTGTGAATGTGTGTGTCAGAGAACACGTCCACAAACACCAGCCTGGCTGACACACAGATCTCCAATAATGCATGTGTTAGTGTTGTGTGCTCATCGACGGCTAATAAACTGAACAACTGCTGACACCTTTGTGTTTGTGTCTTTACTGCTTTGTGAAATATTGTATGACTATTGAAAGATTGTTGTGAAATATTGTATGACTATTGAAAGATTGTGTACTTTTAGTCGAGGCATTTACAATGTGACTGTGTCTCAGATGCAATCAACTCTATCTGAGTGTGAGAAAGTGTGAACCAAATGCTCATACAGACGTGTGGCCAATAGAAACTGATGGGTGTGAATGAGCAATGTTGTTTCTTTGTCAGAGTAGATTATATACTACATATAATATAATACACACTGTAACACGAGCCACCCTAACGACCGCTCAGCAAAATCCAACACTTTTTATGAATGTGATCAAAGAAACACTTGGTGGTTTAAAGGGTTTGAGTTTATTGATGCCGGACAGAGTTACGCAGCATAAAACACACGTCAGGCTTTGATTGGTTGAGCGGCGATGACATCACTCAGACCACGATGACCCTCCAGTGGACTTTAAATCTGCAAAACCAAACAGACGGACTAGATTGAAGATCTCATCAGTGAAATCACACGCAATTCTTTCTCTTTTATGGCGTGTGAGACTGTACAACCGTCCAGTTTTAGACGCTTCATTCTCAACATACAAAACTCGCTTATTTGAAAAGTCACAGAAATTTTGTTGGAAGTAATGCATTAATTTACACATGACTTGGAAAAAAGTAATTGATTACATAACTCACATTACAGAAAATATTAAAGGTGCAGACTGTAAGAATGACTAGTGGTCGAAATAGGTACTGCAGTCCAATTCAAAATATCGGAGATGGTGGTTTCTCCCGCCTCCACGGACTCGACGGCGCTCACACGGGTCGCCAGTTTGAGCATGTGCAACAGGAACGAGCGCAATGGACAATGAAAATCGGCAAATTGGCAACGTGCGGTATCACAGACCAAAACAAAAACAAAGATTCCAGCCTGGAAACACACATTTCAGAGTAAAATAACAAAGCCTGTAGAAGTGCTTTTCAGAGAAACGAGTACGTGAACTTAATATCTCTATATATATTGAGGAAACATGCTATGGTATTTTTATGTTTTAGTAGAGTGAAAGAGTTACACACAGCATCTTTAAACAAACTAAATATTTAAACAATCTATTTTACCTTGTCGCCAAATATAAAAATAAAAAGCTAATTCAAAATATCACTAGAACTATAACAGTATATCAATGATGGTATAATAACACTGGCCTGTAGTATAACTGCAGAATTCTTTATACTTGACATTTATTGACTCAAACAGACATCAAAACTACTTTAATTAGTGGCAGTCAGACAAATGTAGTTACGTCCGCGGTGTGAATATTGGAGGAGACGCACGTGGAAGAGTATGATTTCATGCAGCACTTTCAACACATTTATAAGACATTTTCAGCCTCTGATATTAAACGGATCGTATACCTCAGCTGCGGTAGCTCCGCCCACTGAAGCCACTACATCTGCGGTAGCTCCGCCCACTGAAGCCCCTACATCAGCTGTAGCTCCGCCCACTGAAGCCCCTACATC